TGATTCTGTCCTCCCTCCCCAGAGCAGGCAGTGCTCCTCCACCAGCAATGGTCAGGGGTGAGCAGGCTGGGGGAGGGTGAGAGCTGGAATTCTGGAGCAGGGAGATGTCTCACTTCCTCAGGGCTGCCCGGAGCAAGGACAAGCCAGTCTCCTTGGCTCTCCCTCCGAGGCACAGCTCTGTTTTGGGTGTGCTCCCACCATGGGTGCCCATCACTCTCCCTTTCATCCTGTGGGTGCTGCTGTCCATGAAAGGAGCACACAGCCCCGAGGCCCAGAGGAAGGTGTGTGCAGCAGGAAGAACCAGCTCTCCAGCAGAGATTCAGTTTGTGGGGGCTGGAAACATCTTTTAGGCTGCTTGTTGGGGTGACTGAAATAACGCTCAGGGCACAGGGACCAGCAGTGTCCTCATCCCCTCCTTGTGGGGTCCTGGTGACCCCACCCCACACTGCCCCTTACCAACAGGTCCAGACAAGTTCTCTGCTTTGTCTTGCAGTTCTGATGCCACTGCTGGATCACTGCAGTGTGCAGCCTGACGCCAGGGTCGCCTCCCACCCCTTCTTTGGGCTGAATGCCCAGGTCAGGTAAGGCCTGGAGACGTTCTCAGCAAAGGGAAGGGATCGATTTTGCTGGCGGCGGGGATCTTGCATGCTCAGACAGCTAATGGAGGAGCTTGTTTGGGTTCCCTGAGCAGGCTCATTTGAAAATGCCTCATTTGATAATCCTTTAGATAATGGATTTCCATAATGCCTCTGGATCGGGCTGACAGACCCACCTCACCTCAAGGTGGACGGGTCAGAAGTTCACCCCAGAGGCTGTTGGTGTGTGCAGGGAGGAGAGTGATGCGTGTGTCCTCGAAGGGCAGGCTGTCTCCAACCAGTCTGCGTTCCCTTGACACGTGGTCTTCCTCAGCGTGTGAAGGCTCCCCCTCAGGCCAGGGCAGTGTTCCCTCATTTCATGGCTTTGCTTAGCCTAAAAATAGATGGAGGCAGAAGTTCTGGTGGAGGTGGATGGCAATATCCAGGCAGGAGCCTGCGAGTCCTCTCGTGTTCCCACGCCAAAGGCCAGCGCAGAGCTGAGCCCTCAGCATCCCGTGAGGAGCAGGAGGAGGAGGAGGAGGAGGAGGGTGCCGTGAGTAACAGCCATCTCCCATAGCCAGTCACCCGCCCTGAACCAGCTGACGTCCCTGTACGTGGGCAGGACACACGCCCTGTGGAAGGACCTGGCTGTCATGGCCTGGCTGGAGCCCCACGTCCACGAGGTTCTGCGCATGGTGGACGCCCAGGACGCGCTGGTGCAGGAGGCTGAGCACAAGTGAGCACAGAGGATGGAGGGCAGGGTTCCTGTGCCAGGGACAGAGTGGGACAGAGGGTCTGTCCTGGGCAGCAGCAGTTCCAGTGCCTGGGGCAGGGCTCAGAGCCCCATAGCTGCTGGTCTGATGCCAAAGGTCACGGCATGGGGCCAGGAAAGCAGTGGTTCTTCCATGCTTTTCACAGATGGGAATGTAGAGCTGAACCTGCGCTGCATATCCTGCACTGCCTTCCCCAGGCTTGGCCGTCACCTGTACCCTGGAAACATCCTGGAGAGGGTGGAGGGGTGGCCTGGAAGGGCAGGGATGGCCAGGACAGGTGACAGCTTAGAAACACTTCCCAGTGCTGAGAAACAGAAGAGAGCCATCAGGTGTCCTAAACCAAGGTCAATCTACTCATTCCTGAGCTCTCTGCTTTTCTCTGGAGCTCAGCAGCTCCCACCCCCTTTGGCTCACTCTGAGCCAGCTCCATCCAAGATAGCCGTGTCCCCCAGAGCCAGGGAAGCTGCTGACACTGCACCTGGAGCAGCAGAAATGGGAATGTGCCTGCTCAGGGCTCACTGCTCTGTCCCCTCCCCACCTCAGGAGGAAGATCCGGTACCAGAGCGCTCCCAGGAACATCTACCGGCACATCATCCTCTCGGAGATGAAGGAGGCCACAGCAGCCCTGCCTCTGGTGAGGGGCCTGATGGGACACAGGAGCTGTGGCTGCTTGTGTTGTGGTGGCACTTGTGTCCCTGCTGGGCCTGCTCTGACCCTGTCACTCACGGCTTCTGTGGGCGCCCATGTTAGCTACTGCTGGATGCACAGCCTTCATCTCTTCTTTTCTCCTTCATTCCTCCCTTTCTCTTTCATCCCTCCTTTCTGCTCTCCCTGCAGGAGGTGACCTCCCAGCCAGTGATGGACTTCGACCCCCTCCCTCCTCTGGATTCCATTGTTTCCTACACCCGCCCGGAAAGGTACCAGCCCCGCCGCCGGTGCCTGCGCTGGCACAGCCGGCGTGTTCCCGGCATGCCCTCAGCCCCAGGCCACGCTGCACACGGGCACTCGGTGCTGCCATCCTCCTCCGTGGCAGAGGAAGAGCTGTGGTGCTCCAGGCAGGCAGAGCTACAGGCTGGACTGGTCCTGCTGCTTCCCATGGTGATCACCAATGGCCATTCCCAGCCACAGGGCAAAAGCCAGGGAAAACCCATGTTTTCAGCCATGGCTGACTGGGAGGATTTGCTGTAAATGGAAATTTAAATCCAGCCAGTCCTGGTGTTGGGGTGATGCCACGTGTGTGTTCCACATCAATTTGCTCAGGCAGAGCTGGTAGGATCATGGAATCCTGGAATGGTTTGGGTTCAAAAGACCTTAGAGCTCATCTCATTCTACTCCCTGCTATGAGCAGGGACACTTCCCAGTAGACCAGGCTGCTCTTCCAACCTGGCCTTGGTTGTGCTCTTAATGGCTGGTTTGCTCAGAGTTGCCTGAATTCATTGGAACTCCCCAGTTCCCTCCCTCAGGGCTGGTTCCAGCAGCACATGGTTCTCCCAGAACCCCACATCCCAGTGAGGAGTCACAAACTGAGCTGTACCTTCACCATGGTGCCCCTTGTGTCTTCCAGGACAAGCCATCCCTCCAACGAAAGCACTTTATCCCTCTTCTTCCGCTCTCTGTTGCCAAATTTTAACTTGCAGGTGAGCGCACGCTGGGTTTTGGGTGCACCATTCCCCCATGGTGTTCCTGCTCCAGGAGCCGCTGCTGGCACCAGCCTGGTGCTGATTTGGCAGCGGTGCTGTCCCTGCCACTGCCACCACGGTGCTGCTCTGTCGTAGGGGGACATCCGGCACGACGGGGACAACGAGGCCAGGGCGGCGCAGGACCTCAACCAGGAGGTGAACAGGCTGATGGCGGCCATGCGGGACATGCTGGCCAACATCCAGTTCCAGGAGCCCCCCCGCGATGACAATCCCGAGGGCGACGGCGACTGGGATTGAGCTCGGGGTGTCGCTCCCCAAACCCTCTGGCATCACCCCCCGATTTGTGTCGCACTCCAATAAAGTCACACAAACGGACTCGCTGTGGGAACGGGCTGTTCTGAGGAGGGGGCTGCATCCCTGGCAAGGGCTCCATCCAGGGAGGGGGGCTGGAGCCACAGCCATGGGCTTTGCCCAGGGCCCCTCTCTCAACAGGGGACAAGGGCTGCCTGAGCATGTCCGAGCTAATCAACAGCAGCTGTCCCTTGTCCCCCTGACAGCTTAGTCCCCTTCTGGCCTCCTCTGCACACAATTTCCATCCTATTCCCCTCCCTGTTCTCCTGGCTCTTGTCCTTAATTCCCAGAGGGGTTTTGCTGCCCTCTCCTTCAGTTCCTTTGTATTTCCCGTAGCCTGGAGCTTTCTTCCCTTCACAAAATACTCCGCACCCTCGCTACACTGAACCTTCCAAAGGTCTGAGAGTCCCCTGTGCCACTGGAATTATGCACGGAGCAGCTTTTTCAGCCTTGTAATTATGTTTTGAGAAGAAATCTTTCCCCTCTTTGTTTGTCTATCCTTTATTCTCTCACCTTCTAGAGTAAGGCTCGAGGTAAGCCACAGTCAAACCTCAACTCATCCTTGTTCCCGTAAAGCTTTTTTTCCCTTTTTTTGCTGAGTAATGGTGAATACATGGAATAAATCCCTGTTTCTGCTGTATTGCCTCCCTGGGGGCTGTAGCTGAGCTGAGTGTGCAGACCCCGAGTCTCAAGCTAGCCTGCCTTGGCTCCGTTCCCACTGGTATATCCAAATCCATGGGATCCCATCCCCGGCATTCGGCACCGGGGCAGCCTGGGACCCCATGGGCAGTGTGTGCAGCAGAGCCGTTCTCAGCCGTGCCAGAGGGAAGGGGTTCCCAGCGGAAGTGGGTAACCGTGGGATCAGCCTGCTCCTGGAGCTGTGAATGGCTCTTTGGCAGCCGCGCGGCTCCAGGCATCAACACGGACCTAAGGCACATGATGGTCAGATGGGTCCTGTCCCCGCGGCCTGCCTGGGATCCCTGCGGCGCCGGGCTCTGCACCATCCCATTTGGTTCATGGTGCCTGTGACGATCCCTATCGCGTCCCATGCCTGCCCTATTGTACAACATCTTCCCCGGGGCCATGGGAATGGGATCCCTCCCAGCCCCAGTGCATGGCACAGCCTGGATCGTGCAGTGCAGAGGGTCCTGCAGGGGTCCCCAGGGTGTGTGGGCAGCTCAGGGGATGTGTGGGTGATCCCCACAGCAGATGGGACCCCCCAAGACGTGAGTCCCAGGGGGCACACTGACCCCCCTAGGACACAGAGGCCTGCAGGGCACAGGGGACCCCTCAAGATCTGCAGCCCCCAGGCTTCAGGGGTCTGACCCAGGACATGTGAGGACCCTAAGGTGCACAGTCCCACAGGGCACAGAGGACCCCTGTGGCAGCACCCCCAAAGTGCATGGACCACCCCAGGGCATTTGAGACCCCTGGGCACGTGGTGATCCCAAGCAATCGGGTTCCCCAGGGTCATCCTGGGCGTATCCCAGCCTGGTCACGGCAACGGCCCCCCTCACTGCCAGGGTGCCTCCCTCATGCAGGTGCCCACCCTCCTCGGAGGAGGAGCTGCGGGAACCGCTTTAAAGTGGGGCAGAGAAAGGGCCCTTTCTTCCCCAGCACCCTGGGCCGGCGGGCGTGGGACACCGGGCAGCGCTGGCACCGAGAGCGGCCGCCGCACCGGAGGGTCCCGGCGGGCACACGACACCCCCAGCACATCCCACGCCTCCCGTCCCCAATTCCTCGGCATCCCCTCGGCCTCGCCGCCAGGCGCTCGGGAGAACTGGCGGGGCACGACGGGGCCTCGGGGACTGTGCGGGTGCCACGGGGGGCCCCGGGGCTGAGGAGGGGGTTATGGCGACGCTGGCCCCCCTGCGTCTGCTGCGTGAGCCCTCGAATGCCAGCGAGGGCAACCAGAGCAACGCCACGGTCGGGGCCAGCGCTGGCAGGTGCCAGGGGCTGGACATTCCCAACGAGCTGTTCCTGGCACTGGGGCTGGTGAGCCTGGTGGAGAACCTGCTGGTGGTGGCTGCCATCCTGAAGAACAGGAACCTGCACTCGCCCACCTACTACTTCATCGGCTGCCTGGCGGTGTCGGACATGCTGGTGAGCATCAGCAACCTGGCGGAGATGCTCTTCATGCTGCTGCTGGAGCACGGGGTGCTGGTGATGCGCCCCAGCATCGTCCGCCACATGGACAGCGTCATCGACACGCTCATCTGCAGCTCCGTCGTCTCGTCCCTCTCCTTCCTGGGGGTCATTGCCGTCGACCGCTACATCACCATCTTCTACGCCCTGCGCTACCACAGCATCATGACGCTGCAGCGGGCCGTGGTCACCATGGCCAGCGTCTGGCTGGCCAGCACTGCGTCCAGCACCGTCTTGATCACCTACTACCACAGCAACACCATCCGCCTCTGCCTCATCGGCTTCTTCCTCTTCATGCTGGTGCTCATGCTGGTGCTCTACATCCACATGTTCGCCCTGGCCCGCCACCACCTCCACAGCATCTCCAGCCAGCAGAAGCCAACCACCGCCTACCGTGGAGGCAGCCTGAAGGGTGCTGTCACCCTCACCATTCTCCTGGGCGTCTTCTTTATCTGCTGGGGGCCCTTCTTCTTCCACCTCATCCTCATCGTCACCTGTCCCACCAACCCCTTCTGCACCTGCTTCTTCAGCTACTTCAACCTCTTCCTGGTCCTCATGATCTGTAACTCGGTGATTGACCCCCTCATCTACGCCTTCCGGAGCCAGGAGCTCCGCCGGACGCTGCGGGAGGTGGTGACGTGCTCCTGGTAGGGGGACACGGTACCGGCACGGCCACCCCCGCCCTGGAATGGACAGATGGATGGACTGACGGACGGACAGGACGAGCCGCGGGGTGCCCAGTCCGGGCGAGGACTCGCGGTTCCCAATAAAGGCTCTTTGCAGTGACGCTGTGGCTGGCATCGGGCAGCCCCGGGGATCCCGGGGGGAGAGGCCCTCCCGGTCCCGCCGGTCGGTCAAGGGTCACTTGCTCCCGGAGGGAACCGGGAAAGACCGGCGGGGCGGGGGCAGGCTGGACCCTGAGCGGGGGGTGGTCCCGGCCGCCCCCGGACAAAGGGCCCATCACCGTCGCCTTTGTTCTCGGGCCGCGCCCGCCGCCGCCGCCCACCTCATCACCGGTACCGGCACTGCAGCCGCTCCCGCGGGGGCGACTGGCGGCCGGGACCCCCGGGATGGCCCTCCCGTACCCTGTCCCTACCCCTCCCCGTTCCGGGACGCGGTTGGGAGGGGTGTCCCCCGTGTGTCCCCTTGCCCCGCCGCCGCCGCCGCCGCCACCCCGGGACGCTCCCGCCGCCGCCGGGTGGTCCCAGGGTCCCCGCACGGGTCCCGGGGTGTCCCCGCTCCCCGGGGGCGCCCCCCCGGCCGTGCCCCCCGCGGGTGCCGGAGTCCCGCTCCGCCGCGGCGGGGCGTGGCGGCGGGCGGGGCCGGGCGGGGCGTGGCGGGCGGTGCCGGTGCCGCAGGGCCGTTGCGGCGGTGCGGCGGCGGCCGCCGATTGGCTGCGGGCGGCGGTGACGTCAGCGGCCGGCCCGGTGCGGCGGCGGGAGCCTATAAAGGATGCGGCGGCGGCCGCGCCGCCCCCCGCGCTCCCGGTGCCGCTCCGCTCCGGTGCCGCTCCGCTCCCGGTGCCGCTCCGCTCCCGTCCCGCTCCGCTCCGGCCCGGCCGCACCATGAGGGAGATCGTCCACATCCAGGCGGGGCAATGCGGCAACCAGATCGGCGCCAAGGTAACGGCGGCGCCGCCCCGCCCCGCCCGCCGCGGCGGAGCCGGGCGGCGGACAAAGACGGACCCGCTCCCCTCCCCCGCCGCCGCCGCACCGGGAGGACAAAGCGCCCCGCCCCTACTGCGCCCCCGCCTTTGTCCGTCAGCACCGCGGACAGCGCCCCGCCCGGGGGTCCCGGCGGCCCCCGCCCCGCTGAGCCCCGCTCGGGGTTTGCGGTGCCCCCCGCCCTGCTCGGGGTTTGGGTGTTTGGGGGATGCCCCTGCCCCCGCCCCGCTGAGCCCCCCTCGGGGTTTGGGTGTTCGGGGGATGCCCCTGCTCCGCTGAGCCCCGCTCGGGGTTTGCGGTGCCCCCCGCCCTGCTCGGGGTTTGGGTGTTCGGGGGATGCCCCTGCCCCCGCCCCGCTGAGCCCCGCGCGGGTTTTGCGGTGCCCCCCGCCCTGCTCGGGGTTTTGGGTGTTTGGGGGATGCCCCCGCTCTGCTGAGCCCTGTCCCGGCATTTGAGGAGCCCGGGTAGCCCCCGCCCTCCTCGGGGTTTTGGGTGTTCGGGGGATCCCGGTGTCCCCGGTGCCGCCCCGCTGAGACCTGCCCGGCGGTTTGGGGAGTCCCGGTGCCCCCCGGCTCTCCCTGCCTGGGGATTGCAGTGTTTGGGGTACCCCAGTGCCTCTCGCCCCACCCAGCCTCTCCCTGCCTGGGGATGGGAGGGTCCTGGTGCCCCGTGCCTCGCCCGGGGGCTTGGGGGTGTTCCGGCGCCCCCCACCCCGCTGAGCTCCCCGTCCTCCCCAGTTCTGGGAGGTGATCAGCGACGAGCACGGCATCGACCCCAGCGGCAACTACGTGGGGGACTCGGACCTGCAGCTTGAACGCATCAGTGTCTACTACAATGAGGCCTCTTGTAAGCGACCCCCCCTCGGAACCTCCCCCGGCAGGGTAGCCTGGCACCCCCACCCCAGTCTGACCCCCCAGTGCAGGAGGAGCTGGGTCTGCCGGGTGGGGAGGGGGGCAGATAGACACACCCACCCCATGGAGGGGGGGGCAGGCATGTGCACCCACCCCGTGGGACCGTTTCGTTTGGGGCGGGGGGAAATCGTGTACACCCAGTTCCATGGGACCCTGTCATGTGGGAGGGGTCACACACAGCACCTGCACCCCAACCCTGCCATGGGGAGGGGTCACACAGCGCACCTGCACCCCAGCCCTGCCATGGGGAGGGGTCACACACAGCACCTGCACCCCAGCCCTGCTGGACATGTGCACCCCCTCAGACCAGTCGTGTGAGGGGGCAGGGGGCACGTCCCCCAAGGTCATGGGACCCTGTCGTTTGGGTGGGGGGCATGCGACATGCACCCACCCCTCGGGACACTGGTGTGGGGGGGACACTACACACGCACCCAGTCCCATGGGACCCCGTGGTTTGTGGAGAGAGGGACACCTGCACTCCCCCTGTAGGATCCTGTGGTGTGGGAGGGACAAAACACCAACACCCACCCAGCCCACGGGGCCCGGGGGGGAATGGGGGCAGACATGTGCACCCACCCCGTGTGACCCCCATTGTTTGGGGGGCACAGACATGTACCCACACCAGGAGCCCCTGGGATTTGGGGCGGGGGGACACGACCTGTGCACCCAGCCCTGTAGAGCCGGTTCTAGGGGTGCTGGGATCCCCTCTGGGGGCAGGCTGGGGGGGCGGCAGCAGCTCCCCTCCCGTCATGGGGTCTCTCTCAGCTCACAAGTACGTGCCTCGCGCCATCCTGGTGGACCTGGAGCCGGGGACGATGGACAGCGTGCGCTCGGGCGCCTTCGGCCACCTCTTCCGCCCCGACAACTTCATCTTCGGTAGGTGCCCGGGCGGGGCGGGGTGCAGCGTCCCCCGGTGTTCCCCCCAGCCCCGGCATCCTCGGACCCGCTCGGCCGGTCGCCGTCCCCGGGGCGCTCGGCGGGCGCGTCCCTCCCGCGCCGCGGGGCCCGGCGCCGCCGGCTCGCCGCCAAAGCTCTGCGGTTCCTTCTTCCCACCCCGCCCCGGCGTCAGATCTGCCGGTGCTGCCGGCGGCAGCGGCTGCTCCCAGCCCCGATCCTCTCCCCGGCCCCCTCGGGCGGCGGGCGTGGGGGGCCAGCGGCCATCGGAGCCTTTTCTTTTCCCAGGGCAGAGCGGTGCCGGGAACAACTGGGCAAAGGGGCACTACACAGAGGGGGCCGAGCTGGTGGACTCGGTGCTGGACGTGGTGCGGAAGGAGTGTGAGAACTGCGACTGCCTGCAGGGCTTCCAGCTGACCCACTCGCTGGGCGGGGGCACCGGCTCGGGCATGGGCACGCTGCTCATCAGCAAGGTGCGGGAGGAGTACCCCGACCGCATCATGAACACCTTCAGCGTGGTGCCCTCCCCCAAGGTGTCGGACACGGTGGTGGAGCCCTACAACGCCACGCTGTCCATCCACCAGCTGGTGGAGAACACGGACGAGACCTACTGCATCGACAACGAGGCGCTCTACGACATCTGCTTCCGCACCCTCAAGCTGGCCACCCCCACCTACGGCGACCTCAACCACCTGGTCTCGGCCACCATGAGCGGCGTCACCACCTCCCTGCGCTTCCCCGGCCAGCTCAACGCCGACCTGCGCAAGCTGGCCGTCAACATGGTGCCCTTCCCGCGGCTGCACTTCTTCATGCCCGGCTTCGCGCCGCTGACGGCGCGTGGCAGCCAGCAGTACCGCGCCCTCACCGTGCCCGAGCTCACCCAGCAGATGTTCGACGCCAAGAACATGATGGCAGCGTGTGACCCCCGCCACGGCCGCTACCTCACCGTGGCCACCGTCTTCCGTGGCCGCATGTCCATGAAGGAGGTGGACGAACAGATGTTGGCCATCCAGAGCAAGAACAGCTCCTACTTTGTGGAGTGGATCCCCAACAACGTCAAGGTGGCCGTGTGTGACATCCCGCCACGGGGGCTGAAGATGTCCTCCACCTTCATCGGGAACAGCACGGCCATCCAGGAGCTCTTCAAGCGCATCTCGGAGCAGTTCACGGCCATGTTCCGCCGCAAGGCCTTCCTGCACTGGTACACGGGCGAGGGCATGGACGAGATGGAGTTCACCGAGGCCGAGAGCAACATGAACGACCTGGTGTCCGAGTACCAGCAGTACCAGGACGCCACGGCCGAGGAGGAGGGCGAGATGTACGAGGACGACGAGGAGGAGTCGGAGGCGCAGGGCGCCAAGTGACGCCTGACGCCGCCCCCAACACTGCCCGCGGCCCCCCGGCTTCGCGCTGCTGCAGCCCCCGGTGCTGCTCCCCCGCCATCCCCTCAGTGTCTCCTGACTCCAGCCCCCCGTGAGCCGGCTCGGCCCCTCGCCCCCCTTCCTACCTCCCCCCTTTTCGTTTTTTACTGGTTTGTGTCTTATTATTTTTTTTGAATACTTAATAAATTTATTGCTGTCCAGGTACTACCTGTCTCTGCCTGCTGGGTAGGGGGGACAGGGGACACCCACACGGTTCTGCCCCGCAGCCATTCCCAGCCAGGGGAGGCATTTGGGAAGCCCCCATGCACTGCCCCCCACCCTTCTGCCCCTCAGACCCAGCTGCCCCCCGCAGGCTGTGCCTTTGTCCCCACTGTCACCTTTCCCCATGCTTGGGGGGTGTGGCCCTGTGCCAGGACACAGGTGGCCCTTTGTTCCCCCTCTGAGGGGGTAGCACAGACCCCAGGGACCCCAGGGTGCTTCCCCAGGCTGGGTGTGCGCCCAGCTGTGGAGGACTCGGGACACTCCTGGATCTGAGCCCCGGCTTTGGAGGCCACTGACCAATAGGGCTGTGGGCTGTAGGAACAGGGGGCTGTGGGGTTGGGGACACTGGGGATGGGGACACTGGGGATGGGGACACTGGGGATGAAAGCTGTAGGGGTGGGGTCTGTAAGGGTGGACACAGTGGGGATGGGGGCTGTGGGTTGTGGGGATGGGGGCTGCAGGGACAAGGTATGGTAGGGCTGGAGGTTCTGGGGCCGGGGCTGTAGGGGTGTCACGGTGTGGGTGTGCCGGTGGGGCTTGTAGGGGTGTCACGGTGGGGCTGTAGGGGTGTCACGGTGCGGCTGTAGGGGTGTCACGGTGCGGGTGTCTGTCACGGTGCAGGTCTCACGGTGCGGGTATCATGGTGCCGGTGTCCCGGTGCCGCTGTCCCGGTGCCGCTGTCCCGGTGTCTGTCCCGGTGCCGCTGTCCCGGTGCCGGTGTCCCGGTGCCGGTGTCCCGGTGCCGCTGTCCCGGTGCCGGTGTCCCGGTGCCGGTGTCCCGGTGTCTGTCCCGGTGCCGCTGTCCCGGTGCCGCTGTCCCGGGGCGGGTGTCCCGGTGCCGGTGTCCCGGTGCCGGTGTCTGTCCCGGTGCCGATGTCCCGGTGCCGCTGTCCCGGTGCAGGTGTCTGTCACGGTGCCGCTGTCCCGGTGCCGCTGTCCCGGTGCCGCTGTCCCGGTGCCGCTGTCCCTGTGCCGTTGTCCCGGTGCCGCTGTCCCGGTGCCGCTGTCCCGGTGCCGCTGTCCCGGTGCCGCTGTCCCGGTGCGGCCCCGCCCGGGCGCAGTGCGGTCTGCCGGCCGGCAGAGGGCAGCAGGGCGCAGGCGCGGGGGGCGTGGCCTGTTGAGGGCGTGGCCTGTTGAGGGCGGGGCTTCGCGCGGCGGTGAGCGCGGCGGGGCCGCGGGGACCGGAGGGGACCGGGGGGGACCGGGGGGGACAGCGGGACCCTCGGGGGCCGGGATGGGTGCACGGTACCGGTACGTGCTGCCCGTGGGCCGAAGCGGGAGGTGCGGCGGGGCAGGGCGGGGGCCCGGGCGTGGGAGGCGGAGAGACGCGTCCGTCCGCGGGGACGGAGACGGGGACAGGGACGGGAACGGAGACGGGGTGTGGTGGCAGCACCGAGGTGTCAGGGACGGTGCTGGGCTGTTGGTGCTTGTGACAGAATGCCAGTGCCGGTGTGTCGGTGTTTGTGCCCGGTGTGTCGGTGCCAGTGCCGGTGTGTCGGTGTTTGTATGTCAGTGCGGTGCTGGGACATCAGTGCCATGACAGGATGTTGGTGACAGTGTCGGTGCTGCTGAGGTGCTATTGGTGCCTGTGATGGGGTGACTGTGCTGGTGACACAGTGCACGTGCCTGTGACGGGGTGATGGTATTTGGGATGCTGGTGCTGGTATTGGGGTGCTGGTGATGGTATTTGGGATGCTGGTGATGGTATTGGGATGCTGGTGCTGGTATTGGGGTGCTGGTGATGGTATTTGTGGTGCTGGTGATGGTATTTAGGGTGCTGGTGATGGTATTTAGGGTGCTGGTGATGGTGTGTGGGATGCTGGTGCTGGTTTTGGGGTGCTGGTGCTGGTATTGGGGTGCTGGTGATGGTATTGGGATGCTGGTGCTGGTATTTGTGGTGCTGGTGCTGCTATCGGGGTGCCAGTGATGGTATCAGGGTGCCGGTGATGGTATTTGGGTGCTGGTATCAGGGTGCTGGTGATGGTATTTGGGGTGCTGGTGAAGGTATTTTTAGGGTAGCGGTGCTGGTATTCAGGATGCCGGTGATGGTGGCAGTGGCAGTGCCGGGCTGTCGATGCCAGGCTGGCAGTGCTGGTGCCACTGCCAGCGCTGGGCTAACCCAGGCAGTGCCCTTTGCCCAGCAGGCCGGTGGCAATGGCATCGGACGAGCGGCTGGCCCGCTTCCGCCAGGCCCACCTGAACCCCTTCAACAAGAGCCCCGAGCAGCCAGAGCGCCCCGATGGAGAATCCCCTGCCCCAGGTGGCTGCTGCTCCCCCACCCCACTCCCCATCCCACCCATGGTACCCCCAGTTCTGGGGGTGGGTTCAGCCCCCTGAGACCCCCCTTTTCAGCCCAGCAGCCGGATCCCACCCCGGGGGACCCCGAGGGCGCCCTGGACCTGGGGCTGGCCGAGGACCACTTCTCCCGGCCCGTGGTGAGTGGGGAGGGTGTGGTGGGGTTGGGGGCACATGGGGGGCCCGGCTCACCCTCCTCCTCCTCCCGTGGCGTGCCGGCAGGGGCTGATCCTGGCGTCGGACGTGGCGCAGCTGCGCCGCGCCATCGAGGAGTGCAAGCGGGTGATCCTGGCGCTGCCCGAGCACTCGGAGCGGCAGAAGGACGCCGTGGTCCGCCTCATCCACCTCCGCCTCAAGCTGCAGGAGCTGAAGGTGGGGCTGGGGCCACAGGGGCTCTGTGGCTGGGGCTCCGTGCTGACACCCATCCCTGCAAGGTTGGACAGGCCTTGGAGCAAGCTGGGATGGTGGAAGGTGTCCCCACCCGCGGCAGGGGATGGAATGGGATGACCTTTAAGGTTCAACCCGAGCCATTCCATGATTCTTTAGTTCTCCGAGCCCCCTTTCCCCCTGCAGGACCCTGGTGAGGATGAGCCCAACATCCGGGTGGTCCTGGAGCATCGTTTCTACAAGGAGAAGAGCAAGAGCGTCAAGCAGATGTGTGACAAGTGCAGCACCATCATCTGGGGGCTGATCCAGACCTGGTACACCTGCACAGGTGGGTCTGGGCCACGCCCTCCACGTCCCTGTTTGCCCCATCCCCACGCTGACCCCGGCTGTGCCCCCAGGCTGCTGCTACCGGTGCCACAGCAAGTGCCTGCCGCTGGTGAGCCGGCCGTGTGTGCGTGCCCAGGTGAGCCACCAGGCCGAGTACCAGCTCAGCATCTGCCCCGAGAGCGGCCTGGACAGCCAGGACTACCGCTGTGCCGAGTGCCGGGCCCCCATCTCCCTCCGTGAGCTGCTCCTGGGGGCTGGGGAGGGCTGGGGGGCTCTGGGGGGCTCCAGGAAACCAGGGCTGGGGGCTGCAGGGGCTGGGGGGAGCTGAGAGCTCTGTGGGGTTTGGGGGGTGTAGGGCTGGGGGGTTCATGAAGCTCTGTGGGACTGAAGGGTTGTGAGGATGAGGGGAGGTGGGAGCTTGTGGGGCTGAGCTCCCTTGGGGGGCTCTGTGAGGCTGGTGGAGCTGAAGGTTTGGGCTGTGCGGGCTGGGAGTTCTGGGGATCTGGGGAAGGTGACATTGGGGTGTCCCCAGGTGTTGCTGGGCGTGTCTGGGGCACGCACAGGGTGTGGGCTGAGCAGGGAGCAGGGCGGTGCCAGGGGCAGCCCCATGCCAGCCCTGTGCCACCACAGGGGGGGTGCCCAGCGAGGCCCGGCAGTGCGACTACACCGGCCTCTACTACTGCTCCAGCTGCCACTGGAACGACCTGGCCGTGGTGCCCGCCCGTGCCATCCACAACTGGGACTTCGAGCCCCGCAAGGTGCCCCTGGCGTGGGGTGGGGGCACCCTGGGGTGTCACGAGAGTCCCTTGGGACAGTGGCCCTGGGTGGAGGCCAGCTGGGGGGCCATGCCCTTGTTCATGGGGGTCCCTGGGAGGTGCATCCGTGGGTAGAGGTGACTTGGGAGCTGTGTCCTTTGTCATGGGGGTCCCTGGGGACATGTCCCTTGGTCGAGGTCACTTGGGGGATCCCATCCTTGGTCTTGCATGTCCCTGGGGACCATGGCCTTGTGTAATGTCACCTGGGGGACAACACCCCTTGTCATGGGGGCCACGTCCCTGGTTGTGGGGGTTGCTGGGCAAAGATCACTTGAGGGGAAGCCATGTCCCCAGGGCGGTGTCCCCAGGGCCGTGTCCCAGGGCCGTGTCCCAGGGCCGTGTCCCCAGCAGGGGTCCGTGGGTGGTGGCAGCAGGGCTGGCAGGTGCTGACGGTGGCCCTGGTGGTGTTGGCAGGTGTCACGGTGCAGCATGAGGTACCTGGCACTGATGGTGTCACGGCCGGTGCTGAAGCTGCGGGAGATCAACCCTCTGCTCTTCAACTACGTGGAGGAGCTGGTGGAGATCCGGGTGAGTGCTGCCTGTGGGGAGGACACCCCACAAGGGCAGGGGACACCACAGAGGGCCTGTGCAGTGAGCAGGAGGGGGGGACTCCAGTGGCACCCACTGGGTCCCACAGAGAGGAAACAAGGTGGGGTGGGCAGTTTGGGGCAGAGGGTGCCCAGACTGTAAGAGGGGTGAAGAAAGACACAATCTGGTCTTTTTCTTGTCGTGCTCCTGTCTCCATCCTATTAACAACCCTGTCCTCATCCTCATCCTCATCTTCATCCTGCCCCTACCATTGTCCTTTTCCCTATGGTCCTATTCCTGTCCTCACCTCTGTTCCCATTCCTGTCCCCATTGCTGTATTTCCATGCCATCCCTGTCCCCATTCCCATTCCCATCCCCATCCTGTCCCATTCTCACACTATGCCTTGTCCCCATCCTGCCCCTGCCCTTTGTGCTGTCCTTGTCTCATCCCTGCCCCTACACCCATTCCTGTCCCCGTTCCTGTCCCCATTCCCACCTCTCCCCCCGTGTCCCCCGCAGAAGCTGCGCCAGGACATCCTGCTGATGAAGCCCTACTTCATCACCTGCAAGGAGGCGATGGAGGCACGGCTGCTGCTGCAGGTCAGGCTGGGGGCCAGGGCCAGGCATGGCAGTGGTGGCCACACCGTGGTGACAGTCACTCAGCGGTGGTGGTCACACCTTGGCGATGGTCACACCGTGGGGACAGTCAGACAGTGGTGGCAGTTATACAGCAGTGACGGTCACACAGTGGTGGGTCACACAGCAGTGGCAGTCACACAGCAGTGACTGTCACACAGCGGTGGTGGTCACACCTTGGTGATGGTCACACCTTGGTGATGGTCACACCTTGGTGATGGTCACACAGCAGTGGCAGTCACACAGTGGTGGGTCACACAGCAGTGGGTCACACAGCAGTGACAGTCACACAGCAGTGGCAGTCACACAGCAGTGGCAGTCCCAGTGCCCCGTTTGCCCCCAGCTGCAGGACCGGCAGCACTTTGTGGAGAACGATGAGATGTACTCGCTGCAGGACCTGATGGACATCGAGGCCGGGCGCCTCGGCTGCTCCCTCACCGAGATCCACACGCTCTTTGCCAAGCACATCAAGCTGGACTGCGAGGTGAGGCCGTGCTGGGGGGCAGAGCCGTGGGGAGACCCCCGTGGGGTCACCGTGGTCACCTGCTGCTGCTCCCCCAGCGATGCCAGGCCAAGGGCTTCGTCTGTGAGCTGTGCCGGGAGGGCGACGTGCTCTTCCCCTTCGACAGCCACACCTCGGTCTGCGCCGACTGCTCTGCCGTCTTCCACAGGTACCGACACGCTGGGGCGGGATGTGGGGACCTGGGGGTGGCAGGGGGTGACCCGACACTGTCCCCACCCTCTCCAGGGACTGCTACTACGACAACTCCACCACCTGCCCCCGGTGCGCCCGGCTGAGCCTGCGGAAGCAATCCTTGTTCCAGGACTCCGGCACGGAGGTGGAACCTTGAGGGGGTCTGGCCCCATTGTGGGGTCTCAGGCCCAGCACCGCCCCCCACCCTCCACGGGGCCCTGGGATGGACACAATCAGCCCGGTGGTGGTTTGGGGACTGGGGTGGCCCCGGTTCTGGGATCCTCTGCTCATGGACGTGGCAGCGCTGCCGGGAGGGAACCGCTGCTGGTCCCCAGCCATTGCCGGGAGCACGGAGAGCCCCACCGGAGCGGCCAGGATGGGGTTAACTGGGATCCGGGAAAGGCCCCACGGCGGCTCCTGCCGTCCCTGCCTGGAACCGGGCTGCGGGCCGGGGCTGGCGCTGCCCTGTCCTGCAGTGACAGTGACAGTGACAGTGACAGTGACAGGCGCTCAGCCCGGCACCGGGATGGGACCGAGTCCCTCCCACACACGATACCGGACTCTGGTCCCTCCCCAGCCCACGGCACCCCCGTTACCGGGCCCGAGCCCCGGCGGGGATGCTGCGGGATCCTCCCCGGGCTGGACCGGGCGCGGGGTGCAGCCGCCGCCTCCCCTTCTCCCCGGTGGTTCCTGTAGCATTAACGAGCCTCTCTGCGCAACCCGGCACTCGTGTCCCTGCTTCGGGCGGCGCCGGGGGCACCGGGGGCACGGGGGCACCGGGGGCACGGGCAGGATGTGCGAATGCGCGGGGGTGGCAGCTCGGGAGCCCCCGCCGAGGTTGGGGCTGCCGGGGGCGAGCACCGGCACCGAGCCGGCCCGGGGCTTGTCGGGGATGTGCCGGTGTCCCGTCCATCGAGAGTGGCCGCGGCCACGCTGCCCCGGTACCCGGTGGGGCCGGGCATCCCCCTTCCCAAGGTGTTCCGTGCCCCCAAATCCTCCCGCTCTCCCACGCGGCGGCGCAGACGGGCAGAGGCCGGCGGTGGGTCGGTCGGTCGGTTTTACCGGATCACAGCACTGCTACATCAGAACCGGGCGGGCACCGGCACCGGCCGCGCTCCATCGGGCCGCGCTGAGCCGTGCGACCCGTCCCGTCCTGCCCCATCCGCCGCTCCCGGCAACCACGGCCGTGCCGCTCCCGGGGGCCGGCCCGGTTTCCCCCCGGGACCGCGGGCCACCGGCTGAGGGCAGCCCGGTACGTCCCCGCCGCGGGGCTGGGGCCGCCTCTGCCCTCCGGGCGGGCTAACGGGAGTCCTGCGCCCGGGGACGGGCTCCATCGGTACCGACGGGACCAGCACCGGCGTGTCCCGGTCTCCCCGGCGGGTTTGGTCCCTACGGCTCCCGCGGGCGCTCGGCGGGCAGGAAGGCGTCCGGGGGTCCCGGGGGTCCCGGCGGCAGCTCGGGGTCACTCAGGTGCTTCTTGTCGCGGCCCTGCTCCCGAGCGCGGGTCCAGGAGGGCGAGCGCAGGTACCCGGCCCGGGGCGCCGCCGGCGGCTGCAGCCCTGCGGGACGCATGGCCGGGGGGGCGGCGGTCAGCGGGGCACCGGCACGGGCGGACAGGCCGGGACCGGCGGCCCCGGAGCCCCGCTCACCGCCGGGCGGCTCTCCGGCCGCGTTCTCCTCGTCGGAGTCGGCGAAGACCTCGGCCAGCTCCTGGTCCGACATATCCGTCAGCTCCGTCAGGTCCAGCAGGTCGAAGTGCACCTCCAGCGAGGACACGCTGCTCAGGGGCTCTGCGGGCACCGGCCACAGGCTGGGCACCGGCCACAGGCTGGGCACCCACCGCTGGCCCCACTGGGGAGGCGGGGGTCTGCTCCTTGGAGAGCTGGGGCGGGGGGACCCCTCATAGAGGGACTTGAGGGGCGACCGTGACTGGCTGGGGGCTAGCAGGGGACCCTAGGGGATGGCAGAAGACTGGGGACAGGCAGGACACCCCGAGGGCCGGCAGAGGACACTCGGGGATGGGCAGGAAACCGCGGAGCAGACCCGAGGTGCTGGGGACAGGCAGGGGATGCTGTGGGCAGGAGACATCCCAGGGACAACGCAGGGGACCTCAGGCACGGGCAGGGATGGCGGGGACAGGCAGGGACCCCAGCTCGGGGCCTCACTCACGTCGGCGCTCGGTGACCTGCAGCAGGCCGGCGCTGGGGATGGGGATGCCCCCCTGCTCCTCCGCGGGGACTCGGGGGGTCTCCTGGGCCGGCCCGTGCGTGGGGGTCCCTGCGGGGCGCTCCGGGACCAGCGGCTCCTTGCCAAGCTCTGCCACATCAGCACCTTCCGTGTCACTGAGGGCGGCTCCTTTTGGGGCCCCCGGCGCCCGCGGGGTGCCCAGCAAGGGGCGGGGGACAGCAGGAGCCCCGGGGAGGAGCGGGGGGACGGGCAGAGCTGCCCGAGCCCCTCGTGTCGGAACTGGCAGCCCCCGCCCCGCGCCCCCTCCCCGCGCAGCCCCTTTGTGTCGGCGAGACAAAGCGCAGGCTGTGCGGGGCGGACAAGGGCGGATTGTGCCGGGACTGTCCCCGCCAGGGGCCGGAGGGACACGGCGGCCGTGGCACACGGTGGTGGCACAGCCCTGTGGCACTCAGCGGGGGCACAGCCGTGTCTCGGGGCCGAGCGGGCACCGGGGCTGGCAGGAGGCTCTGTGTGCCCAGGGCAGCGCGGGGGACACAGCAGCACCCTGTCCCCGCCACTGCCGGTGCCCCGGTGCCACCACCGAGCCGTGCCACCGCTGAGCTACCGGGTGCCACGGCACAGGGGTGGGCATCGCCCCCCTCCCAGCAGGATGGTGGCAGCGGGGCACGCTCAGAGACCTCCAACCCAACGGGGAGAGGGATTTTCCTGCTGCTGGCAGGCGGAGCTGCGGGACATCGGCGGGACATCGGCGGGGAAGCAGCGGGGCAGCAGCAGCCCTCTGCCCCGGTACCGGATCGGGCACCCCGCGCTCACGGTGGCTCCCCCGGGCCGGGAAATGGGCTCCTCATCGCACCCCAGAGCAGAGCAGATCCCCCCGGGGCGGGCACGGGGGCTGCCCGCTCTTGCCCGCTCCCGCCGCCGTGCCCGCGCGGTGCCCGGCCCCGGTGGGTGCCGCCGTGCCGTGTCACCGTGAGGAGCGCGGCCCCTGCCCGCACACCGCACACGCCCCCACCCACCAGGGCGCTGGTCCCGGCTGCAGAATTCCGCTCTGGCCTCCGCCTGCATGGTCCCGCCGCGCCACCGGCCGTGCCACCGGCAGTGTCACCGGCAGTGTCACCGGCAGTGTCACCGGCCGTGCCACCGGCAGTGTCACCGGCCGCGCCGCCCGCTCCGGCCTGGGCTCACCGGCTGCCTGGCGGGAGCGGGGCCGGATCAGGCATCTCCCCCGCACGCCGTGTGCTGACTCACGGCAACCGCAGAGCCGGGCAGCCGCCGGTACCGGCACCCCACGGCCCCGGGCACCCCACGGCGGCCGCAGCCCGCCCCAGCGGCACTGTCCCCCCCACGGGCCCGGTGTCCCGCCGCTCCCCCGGTGCCGCCACCGGGGCTGCCCCGTGCTGGCGGGCCACACGCGGGAGGGACGGGCGTGCAGGGGGGCAGCCCCGGCACCGCCTCTGCCGCCAGGTGCGGCCCCCCCAGAATTCGGGGCCCCCTCCCGGTCCCCGAGCCCCGCCGCACACCGGCACTGCCGCCGCTGTGCGGGATGGCTGCGGGGCACCCCGCTGCTCCCCAGGGCCCCTGGGCACCCCAGAGTGCCCGCGTGTCCTGCGAGCACCCTACTGCTCCTCTACACCCCCGGGCACCCCATTGTACCCCCACATTGCCCGGGCACCCCGTGGCAAGCCCGAGTCCCCGGTGCCACCCCACTGTCCCCCCGGTCACCGCACTGCACCCCCACCTCCTGCAGCATCCCGCTGCCCCCCAAGCCCCCGGGGCGCTCCAGAGCTCCCCCGACCCCTGAGCACCCCCGTGCCCCCCACATTCCCTGGGTACCCCGCTGCTCTCTCCCTCCATCCCCGACTCTCCCTGCACAGAACCCCCGCGATGTCCCGCCCCGCCCCCCCAATCCCCCTCCCCTGCAGCCGGGCACCCCCAGCCCGGCCCCGCGCCCCCTTTGCGCCCCTTTGCGCCCCCCGTGGCACCCCCGCCCCGCATCTCCCCGCCCGCCCCGCGGGGCCCGGCCCGGTTCCACGGGGATGGGCGTGCCGGTCCGAGCCTCCCGCTCTGCTCGCTGCCCTCACCTCCGGCGGCCACCGCTGCCGGAGCCGCCATGGGCCGGGCTCGGGGCTGATGCCGGTGCCGGTGCCGGTGCCGGTCCGGTGCTGGGCGGGCCCGGTGCCAGCCCGCAGCCCGCACGGTCCTGCCCGCCGCGGCGGGGGCGGGGACACCAGGGGCGGGGACACCGGGATGGGCGGAGCCGAGGGGCGGGAGCACCGGGGGGACAAGAGAGGGCGCGGAGGGGACCGGGAAGAGCCGGGGGGGCGCACGGGGACCGGGGGATGCGGGAGCTGAGCCGGGGGACCGCAGCTGTGGGGACAGCCCCGGTCACAGCGGTGGGCGCGGGGGTGGAGGAGCCGGGGCCGGGCACAACGGGACCCCCTGGGTTTGTCCCTCCAGTGCTCCCCGAACTCCTCCTCCCTCCCGGTTCCCCCCAAACCGCTCGGTTCCCTCGGTCGCCCCGTTCCCTCACACCGCCCCTCGCCGCTTTCTTCCCGCCCGGTCCTCGCGATGTGCTCCCGCTTCTCCCCGGTGTCCCGTCCCGGTGTCCCCTCCCGGTGTCCCCTCCCGGTGTCCCGTCCCGGTGTCCCCTCCCGGTGTCCCCTCCCGGTCCCTCCCGGTCCCTCACGGTCCCTCCCGGTCCCCTCCGGTCTCTCTGCCCCGCCCCCGTTGCCAGGGCGGAGCGTGGCGTTGCTAGGGGGCGTGTCTTCACCCGGCGCCGCTCTCGCGAGATCTCGCCGTTCTCTCGCGGGACCTGCCGTCCGTTGCCCGGAGACGCCGGCGCCGCCGCCATGGTGAGAGCGGAGCCGGGCCGGGCCCGGGGGGAGAACCGGGCCCGGGGGGAGAACCGGGGCCGGGGGGAGAGCTGCGGGCTCCGGCAGCCGGGCTGTGCAGGCGGGGAAGGGCGGTGGAGCCCCGCGCTCCGATGTCTGAGAGCCCCGTCCTGTGCCGGCCCGCTCCCGGTACGGAGCCGCCCGGTGCCGTGCCCGGTGCCGTGCCCGGTGCTGCGGTGATGCCGCTCAGGCGTTCCTTTGGGTACCGGTGTTTCGTGCCCAGGGCTTCACGGAGCTGGGTCGGCAGTGGCACGGAGTCTCTCACAGGCCGCTCCCGGCTCCGTGTCGCCGTTGTCCCCGTCGGTGCCGTGAGAACCGGGATGCTCCGGGGCCGGCTCGGGGCGTGCACGGTTCCTCCTCACTCCTTCACCTGCTGTGCTTGGCTTTCTGTCCTCAGGCACCCAAAAAGAAAGCAGGGAAAGCGGGCAGAGGCCCAGCGGTGGTGGATGGCCTGGCCCCGGAGGACATGAGCCGGGAGGAGGTGAGCGGTGCCCGGGGAGGACGGGCGGGGACAGCTCGGGACACCCGGCGGGACCTGGCCCGGCTCTGGGGACACCCGGCGGGACCTGGAGTCTTGGAGCCCCTCAGGACAATAAGAGGGGCTGGAGCAGCTCCAGAGAAGGGAGTGAAGCTTGGGAAGGGTCCCGAGCACAAGGTGGGGCTGAGGGAGCTTGGGGGGCTCAGCCTGGAGGAAAGGAGGTTCCAGGGGGACCCTGTGGCTCTGCACAGCTCCTGCCAGGAGGGGACAGCCAAGGGGGTCGGGCTCTGTTCTGGGAACAGGGACAGGAGGAGAGGGAACAGCCTCAGCCTGGGCCAGGGTTGAAGTTGGATATTGGGAAAATTTCCTCCTGGAAAAGGTTGTCCAGCCCTGGCCCAGGCTGCCTAGGGCAGGGGTGCAGTCCCCATCCCTGGAGGAATTTAGGAGTCATGTGGATGTGGCACTTGGGGACCTGCTGGAGGAACAGTTAAACTTGATTTTAGAGGCTTTTCCAACCCAAACAATTCCATGAGCCAGACGTATCTAAGCACCTGAGTGTTGGGTCAGGTAGAAGAATTATAAAAGAAAGGCCTCATAAAACCAGGCCTGCTCTGTTAAGCTAAAGGTTAGCCTGTCACTTCTTCTAAGTGCAGCTAGTACTTGCGAGTTCCCATGCAAGAACAAACTCGGAATGAATAGTTTGCTAACATAACAACCTATTCTTGGGTGAAAAATAAGTGCACTGGCATAAACATTAGATCTATTCCATGACAACCCACAAAGAAAAATGTAAACAACCTGAACCTTAGCAGGTACACACAAATCACCTTCTGACCTATAAAGTGGTAAGAAAACTACCACTAGTAGATATTGCACATGAGATGTGTGAAAACAGTATAAAATGAGTTATGTGAATAAAGACTGGGCTTTTCCCACATGAAGAAAATGGAGTCTCTCTCATTTTATTCCAAGAACAGAGTGCTGTTAGTGGACCCTGCCAGGCAGAGCCCCATCCCGGGCAGATGAGGGTTTGTGACTGCTTTTCCAGAAGCTGCTGGGTTAGTCAGGGACCTGCCCAGCTCCACACGGGTGACAGCCACCACGTCCTGCGGGTTTGGGGCGCGGAGTGTCCAAGGGCGCTGTCCAAGGCCTCCTGCCCCCTTCCCTTCCCTTCCCTCCCTTGCCTCCGCAGCTGCTGGAGCACACGGCGCGTCTCCGGCAGGAGCTGGAGCGGGAGCGGCAGGAGCGGAGCTCCTTCCAGCTGGAGTGTCACAGGATCCAGAGCTACTGGGAGATCACCCGCCGCGAGCTGGAGGAGAGGAAGGCGGAGCTGCGGAACCGGGACCGCGAGCTGGAGGAGGCGGAGGAGCGGCACCAGCTGGAGATCAAGGTGGGGCTGGAGGGCTGCAGGTGAGCCCTGGGCAGCTCTGAGGATGAGGGGAGGAGGAGCTGGGCAGGATGTGATTCAGGAAGGTCTCACCAGCATCCCTGGTGACTCCTGCTGAGCCCCTCGCCCTGTCTCTGTCCTTAGGTGTACAAGCAGAAGGTGAAGCACCTGCTGCACGAGCAGCAGGAGAACCTGACGGAGCTGAAGGCGGAGGGAGTCCTGTCCCTGAGGCGGGCCCAGAAGGATCACTGGGACCAGGAGCAGGAGCTGTGGAAAGAGAAGCGCTCCTTGAACATAAGGCTGAAGGAGCAGGAGTTGGCCAATGAGGCAGCCATTACAAACCTCTGCCTGGTATGTCCCTGGCTGGGCCGGAGCCTCCCGTGAGGTGCCTCATCCCCAGTGTGGGAGCAGGAGGGGGATCTTGCCTCCCTGACTCTCCGTGGGGTGAGATGGGATTTCTGGTGCTGGAATGGGGAGAAGGGATTCCTGGGTGACCCCTCTCCCACAGTGGGAAGCTGTGAGAGCAGCTGGAGAACCCACAAGCCACTGTTTGCACCAACATGGGATCAGAATCCTTTCCCAAACAGCAGGGGGGAATCCCTGGGCATGGGCTGGCTTGGGATTTGGTTGCTTCTTCCAACACGGAGTTTCTTCCTCACAGAAACATGAGGAGGAGATGGCCCAGCTACGCAGCAACTTTGAGCTGCAGACCAAAGGTGAGGGCATGAGGCAGATCCCACAGGAGCACGACAGGGAGAGCTCCTTCTGGTTCCCAAGCAGCACCTTGAGCACATGGGGGCAGGTTCTCTCCAGGCCTGGCCATTTTTCCTGTCCCTGTTCTGGCCATTTTTCCCTCCCACTTCTGATCAGCTTCCCACCCCTTTTGGCTGATCTCCCCCACTCGAGGTTCTGGCCAGTTTTCCCCACAAGTTCCAGGTGGTTTTCCTCCCCAGATCAGTCTAGTTTGCCCTTCAGTTCCGGCTGTTTTTCCCTCCCAATTCCAGCTGGTCCCAACCCACACAGTTTTGGCAAGTATTCCCTCAGTTTTGGCTGTTTTTTCTCCCTTCCCCATTCTGGTCAGTTTTCCTCCCCAGTTTCAGCCAGTTCTTCCCCAGCTCTGACAATTTCCCCCCAGAGATGGAGGCCAAGTACACCAGGAAGATGCAGGCGCTGCGGGATGAGATGGACCTGCGCAGGAAGACAGAGATCCACGAGCTGGAGGAGAGGAAGAACACCCAGATCAGCGAGCTGATGGGGAACCATGAGGGGGCTTTTGGTGCCATCAAGAACTACTACAACGATATCACCGCCAAAAACCTGACACTCATCAAGCTGCTGAAGGTACTGCCCGTCCCTGTGTCACCCCTCACCCAGGCACTGCTCCTGCCAGGGTGTCAGCTGGGTCTGGCAGTGCCCAGGTGCCAGTGTGGGTGCTGCTGGTGGCCTGCACCCTGGCACACGAGTGGGGAGGGTATCTGGAGGGTGTGGGGCACTCCAAGGGGCTGGGCAGCTCCATGAGCCAGCACTGGTGTTCCCAAGAGCAGGAGCAGGTGGAAGAGCTGAAGAAGAAGGAGGCTGTCCTGGAGAAGGAGAAGGCAGACGTGCTGCGAGAGAACAAGGGGCTGGCAGAGCCGCTGCAGGAGGCCCAGGGGCTGGTGGCTGAGCTGCAGAAGAAGCTGGTTCACTACTACAGGGACAAGGAGGCCCTGATGGTCAGTGGCTAGCCCTGTCCTTTCATGGGCTCGTTCCTGGAGCGAAAACACTCACCTCTGCCACTTGGTGTGCTGTGATTGCTGGGCAAAGCAAGTCGTGCTCTGCTTACTGTGTATTTGTGGGATCTCAGGTGGGGGTCCAAAGAGAGACTGGAAGGGAGATCAGCCCCACTGCAGGGCGTTTGGTGTGAGTGCTGCCTGGTTTTCTCTCTGCTGCTCACTCTCCTCCCTTCCCAGAACACATCTCCAACACTTCCCAGACAATCCTGTGCTCTTTAACCCTCCCTTCCCATTCACAGAACTCCAAAGCCCATCTGAAAATCACCCAGAAGGAACTGAAGGACCTTCAGTGGGAACACGAGGTGCTGGAGCAGCGGTTCAGTAAGGTGAGACCTGCAGGCAGAACTGTGCATCCCATTCCCTCTCCAAACCTTTCCAAACCCTCTCTGCAGAGGACAGGGCGTGGGGCTTAGCAGAGGCTGTGCTTAGCCCAGGGCTTTGCAAAGCTAATCCAGAGTCGGGTGAGAACCGCTGCTCCCAGCAGAGCTGCTCCAGCCTCTCCCACGGTCAGCAGACAGGCCTGGCCTTGTCCTTTGCTGAGCAATCATGCACGCTGCATGGGGCCCCGGGCTGCTGGGGCTGCGTGGGGCAGAGCTGGCACAGGGGGCATTGCCACGGGCCCTCCTGCCCTGTGCCAGGGTCGCTCCCTCCCGTGCTGGGGTGCTGGGGAAGAGCCCTGCAGAGCCGTGCTCCCCCCACTAACCCAGATAAATCTTCTGAGGCAGGAGAGAGCTCATTTGCAACTCGTAGAAATCCCCAGGAATATGAACATTGATCCGAGGCCTCATTAACAATCCATCATTAAGACAGCGCCAGATTCAGAGCGTTCAGAAATAGGCTTTGGAGGAGAGACTGTGTCCTAATTAGGACACTTATTAACTAGCTGTGAGCCAAGGACTGCTGCCAGCTGTGGGGCTGAGAGGAGAGACCCCTGTGTGCTGGGGGCCCTCGCTGGGGTCTGAGTGAGTGCTGCAGGGAGCCATGGGGGCATTCCATGCCTGCAGGGGAGGAGGAGGAGGAGGGAGAAGCGCAGGTGCTGCACCATGGAGGGGGGGAGGGAAGGGGGAAGCTGTGGTGCAGCACCTGCCTTCCCTGTGGCCGAGCTGCTGGACCAGTTTTGTGCTCTACACCACTGTGTGGGCCCCCGTGTCCCCTGGGGTCCCGAGGGGGCTGTGACACTGTGCTGCCTCCCGGAGCAGGTCCAGGAAGAGCGAGACGACCTCTATCAGAAGTTCACTATAGCCATTAACGAGGTGCAGCAAAAAACGGGGTTCAAGAACCTGCTCCTGGAGCGGAAGTTGCAGGGACTCCTCACCCTCCTGGAGCAGAAGGAGGTGGAGCTCAGCGAGGTCCTTGCAGCCTCCAACCTCGACCCCAGCGCTCTCTCCTTGGTCTCGCAGAAGCTGGAGGTACTGGGGCCCGGCGAGGGCTGGATTTGGGGGGCAGAGCCCACTGTGGGGTGCTCGCTGCCCCTGGAAAGCGCCAGTCCCCATCCTCCATGGCTGTAGGGGGCACGTCACTGGTTCCCAGCACTTCCAGGGCCACGTGTGGTGCCGTGGGGCGCTCGGCTCTGCCTCGAGAGCGGAGCGCGTGGGTGTCGGGGTTTGGCACCGATCTGTCCCTCAGGTGGGGCCTGTTTTGAGGAGCATGGCCGCAGGCTCCATGGCACTGCCACACAGCCTGCTGGCTGCCAGCGGGTCCAGTGGCACCCAGAGGCTGTGTGTGGCGGGGGCTGCACCTGGTGAGCCTCGCTTGGCCATGGGGACAGCGCAGACAGGATCCTGGGGCTCTGCGGTGTCTGCCGGGCTAAAAATACCTCTGCAGAGAGCCTGGAGACCCACATTCCTGCCGCAGCTGGAGCCAGGGAGGCTCGCTGCGGGTTGGGCACAGACACAGGGAGCGAGGGCTCCGCCACCTGGTGCCCTCTTGCTTGTCCCCAGCCAGGTCCCTGCTGCAGGGGCAGTCAGGGAAGCTCTGGGGTGCTCTGGGATGCATACCAGACCTATGGGACAGGCAGCGGATGTGTCACCTCCCAGCAGGTGGAAGGAAAACACATTCCTGGCATGGCATCACTGGCGTCGGGCTCTGCTGCAGCTGCTGGGGTCCCTGAATTCCTCCTCTCAGCTGCCTAGGGGAGCCTGGCTCCCTGTAATTCCCGCGGTGCAGGGCGGTGCTGCTGGAGCAGGTGCTGCCGGCACTCCCCACGCGGCGGGGCAGACCGGGATGGCTGTGCTGTTCATCCCCGTCCCTGCCCGGGGCTGGCTGTCCCTGGCACTGCCACTCAGAGGGGGCAGGGTGGTGGCCACCTGCCAGGCCGTGCTGGGCGCTGCAGCTCCTCCGTGTGCTCTGCCACGCCACACCCGCTGGTGGCACGGCCAGCGTGTCCCCAGGGCTGGGCAGTGCAGCCTCAGCGTGTCCCCAGGGCTGGGCAGTGCAGCCTCATCCCAGTCTCCCCTTGCAGGACGTGCTCAGTTCCAAGAATGCCACCATCCAGGACCTGCAGCTCCAGCTGGCCAGAGTCTGCAAGGTAGGGGCGGGGAGGAATCCTGGACAGGTTTAAGAGCCATGTGGATGTGGCACTTGGGGACAGGGGTCAGTGCCAGCCTTGGCGCTGCGGGGGGACCCGTTGGACTCGGTGAGCTTAGAGGCATTTCCAACCCAAACGATTCTGTGATTCCATGGCTCAGGGTTGGAGATGAGCCTGGGGGTGCAGGGAGCTCTCCTCTGCTGACAGAGGGGCTGACAGGGACCCTTTCCTCACAGGCACACAACGACATGCTGCAGACCTTCAAGGCAAAGCTGACAGCCTTTGGCATCCCCCTGGACAACCTGGGCTTCCAGCCACTGTCCTTCCCCTTCCCGGGGCAGGAACTGGGGCAGGGCCCTGCTGGACTCATTTCAGTGCCCACCTGATGCTGGCAGCACTGAGGGTCCCACTGGCACACTGCTAGTGGGGCTGTGCTCTTTTCCTGCTCCGTGTCTTTAAACAGACCCCAGTGAGCATCTTCAGGAGCCTCTCCTCCCAAGGGGGACCGCAGCTGGAGGGCTCCAGGCATCTCACCCACCCCACCAGGCCACCTGGGGCCACCTCTGTTCCCACAAAAGTGGAAGGAGATTTTTTGAGACAAACGGTGCTGTTTGGAGTTTTTAATGGCATCGGTGGCGTCATTCCTGCGTCCCCAGGGGAAGGCTGTGCCCTTCTAACTGCCCCGGTATGTGGTGTAGGAGTAGGGGCTGATCAGCAGCGGGACGTGGAGCTTCTGTGTGGGGTCAGTGATGATGAAGATGACCTGAGGGAGAGTGAGGGGACAGCAGTGGGAATCCCCCTGCCATAGCGAGGCCTGGGGAGTGCAGCCCCTTGAGCCTGGCCCCAGCCCTCAGACGTGCTGTGTCACCCGTCCCAGTCTCCCCACACTCCGTACCTCCACGAAGGGGTAGAAGCTGCTGTGCCCCAGTCCCTGCCAGTACTCAGCTGTCTCAAAGTGCAGCTTGTAGGTGCCAGCCTTGGCCTGTTCCGGTGCCAGGAGGGGCTGGCAGCGCCCATCTGCATCCGTGTGCCTGAAACCGGACCGAGGCAGTCCTGCTGTACCCCAAAACACAGCCCTGCCCCACCCCCAGACCTGCCCTGGCTAGACCCCCAAGCACCAGCCCTGCCACCAGCAAACAAACCCCAGGTGAAGGCTGGGCAGCCAGTTGTGCCAGGAGCCTTTGGCCAAGCTCACAGAGCGCTGGCAGCAGTGTCCCTGCCCCACTCCTACCACCCAGAGGTGCCAACAGCTCTCCTACCTCTGTGCCAGCTCCGTCCACTGCGGCCCTGGCTCCTGCAGCCGGGCCAGGCGGATGGTGAGGCCGGCTGCCGGCAGCCCCGTGGCCGTGTTCAGCACGTGGGTGGTCAGAGTGCCCTTGCCCACCTCAGCCATGCCCTCAGCCTGTGGCAGAGGGGGAAGCAGGGCTGGGACCTGTCCTGGCAGCACCGTCTGCCTTCTTGCGCTGCAGCCAAGCCCCTGCACTTCACTCTTCCCCAGAGCTGGGATATGAAAGCCACGTCCTTCCACGTGATGCCACGCTGCTCAGCCCCAGGCACCGCAGCCACGGTGCGTGGGTGCCAGCTGGTTCCCACTGGGATGCAGGGCTCTGTGCTCACCTGAACCGTGCTCCCTGCTCTCCTGCCTGTCCTGGTGGGCCTCAGCACAGCAGCCAGCCTGGACCCAGCGAGGAGGCAGCCCTGTCCCAGCAGCCCTGTCCCAGCAGCCCTGTCCCAGCAGCCCCATCCCTGCCCTCAGCATCACGGGAAGGTGGACATTGACCCTGCCCAGCTCTCCGGAGCTGTTTGGTGTCAAGGTCAGCACTGCTGGTGCTGGGGGCAGCCAGGCCCTTCTTCTCCTGGAGCTCCCAGGCTGGGATGGAGCACGATTCGGGGCTGTGTCAGCAGCCGGCAGGACCAGGCAGCGTCCTTGGAGCCAGACCAGCTCCCGCTGCCAGCCCCACACCAGCCCAACACCACAGAGCACCCCGGCGAGCTTACCTGGCTGTGCTCTGTCCCACTCGGCCAGGGACCTGTGGTGGGTGACCCCACACAAAACGCCATCCCGGCCTCCCTCGCTGGCACCACGGCCTCTCCCCGTGGGGCTGGCGTGGCTGGGTGCCGCTATCCTGGCACGGGGCTCCCGCAGAACCGGGTGCTCCTCCCCGGCTGGGCTGAGCTGGCACGGGCGCTGGCACCCACACTCCAGTGGCGCTGTGGCCCCGAGGCTCGCGGCCCAGAGCCCGGTGGGAAGCTGGCACACCGGGCCAGGAGGAGCCGAGGCACAGCTGCCATCCCCGTCTCACCTCCTGTGGGAATCCAGGGCTTCCCTCCGGCTGCCCTGGGACCCTGGCAGGGGTCAGGAACCCCCCTGGACAGAGCCCCCAGAGACACTGGCTGTGATCTCTGTCCATGGAGAGGAGTTTTCAATCTCACAGGATGAATTACCAGCTCTGAGTGTTTGATAAGAGTAATAATTAAGTGTGACACGGGTGCAAAGGTAAAATTTTAGGTTTCTAGATTAGGGGTTCAGAGGGGACAAGATGGAGGAATTGGGTGTGTCTTGTCCTTTTTCTCCTTCTTCATGCCCTCCATGTTTCACTGTGGTGTTGGCATTTTTCTGTTGGTTCAGGCTGGGGACACACTGTCCAACGTAGGTGACAGATATTGGCACGTTATTGTAAATCCAGCACAGGTAGTTTGTGGTATTTAATGTTTGTACCATCCCACTGAGGGCAGAGCCCCACACGCTGCCCTGCAGGACAGAGCTGCGGCAGGGCAGCAGAACATGTTAGAGATAAACAGAATAAACAACCTTGAAACAGCACAGACCAATTATGGCTTCTGCTTTGGCAGCGGGGCTGACAGACAGAGACTTTCTACAATCTCAGAATCACCAATACCCACAGATTCCGACAACCTCCCACCATGGAAAGCACCTGGAGCGCGTCGGTGCTGCCGCAGCCTCGCCCTGCCCGGGCACTGGGGGGCTCAGCCCCTCACCTGCACCCCGATGTGGGCGGTGGCGGCGGCTCACAGCCCAGATCCCCCCAGGCCAGCAGCATGGAGCTCCAGCGTGTATTCAGGGACCGCCTGTGGCAAAAGGCCGTGTCACCCATCAAAATTGGGGGATGAGCTCGGTGGGGGCTCAGTCCGGGCCTTACCTCTGCCACCAGCCCCGGCACAGCCACGGAGACCAGCCCAGAGCTGCTGTTGATGGTGACCATCCCAGGCTGGGCTCCTCTGGCCCCTGGCTCAGGATGGAATAGCTCACAACGCCATTGTCGAAGCTCACGGCGTCGTCCGCGTCGGTGGCCAGCACCTGCAGCACGGATGTGCCTGGAGCAGGTGGTTATTGCTGACCTGTCACACAGCCCTGCAGTGCTGCCTGCCAGGGGTGGCAGGGGTCCCTCCTGGCTCAGCTCCCTCCAGCACAGAACCATGGAAAACTGCCCGCGGGAAGACGGGCCGGTGTCGTTCTGGTCAGTGACGGTGATGATGATCTCCATGGGGTCTTCCACGGGCTGCCCGTTGGCCGACACGGCGTGGGAGTAGAGCTGCGAGGGCACAGTCAGTGTGTGTGCAGTCCCCAGGACTGTCCCCGTCCCGCCACAGACGCCCCCTCACTCACCACGTATTTATCCTTCTCCTCCCGGTCCAGGGGTTTTGTCACCTCCAGCCACCCCGTCTCCCGCTCGATGATGAAGACACCCACGGGGATGGTATCCGCTCCCTGCCCCGTGATGCTGTAGAAAACCTTGGTCTCCTTGTCCTTGTTGGATTTGATCTGGCAGCGGGGCAGGAATAAGCGGGTGGAGACGTGTCCCAGCACTCTTGGGACACCCCTGGACCCTGCCTGGTTCCCGTGGGGACACGTACCTGCACCAGCTTCTTGGGGAAGGGCCCCCGCTCATTCTCAGGGCAGTTGATGGGGGGGATGACCCAGTCCCTCTTGTGTCCGTGCTCCGGGAAGATCAGCATGTCCTGGGGGATGGAGAGCGGGGCTGCAGGGCCACGGGGGGACGAGGCTTTGCCCGGAACCCCCCGGGGGATGGCCATGCAGCACCCCCGGCCCCACTGCGATGGTCCCAGCAGCAGCAGGAGGAGGAGGAGGAGGGTGAAGCTGCAGGGTGCCATGGCTGCAGCTGCCCTGGCTGCTCCCCCCAGCTGCCAGCTGGGAACATCCCTGTGGCTCAGTGACCTTGGCCAGGAGAGCAGGACCGGCTTTCCAGAGCTGCCAGCCCCGCGGGGGGACCCAGCACACGAGATGCTGCTCCAGGCTGGGGGACATGGAGTGCAGGAGCTCCCCGGGGCTGTCCCTCGTGGCCATGGGAACCCCACTGCAGTGGGGCTGGGGGCACACACAGCCCCCCGAGAGTTCCAGTGCACCCACAGGCGGCAAAGGGGGAGGAATGGGGAGGGGGGCTGCTCCTGCTTGGGGCGGTGGTGGGAGGTGCCACGGGAACACCGGGAGGGACAAACGGCGGGACCACGAAGGAGCCTGGAGACACCGGGATGCGCGGGCGGATCCACCGGGCTGCGCTGGGGGCTGGGGGGCAGCGGCGGGGGACGGGGGCACAGAGGGGCGGCATTGACAGACCGGGGGTGCCCGGTGCCCGGTGCCCGGAGATTGCCGGGCCCTACCGGGGATGCCAGGGGGCTCCAGGGCGATGCCGACGGGCTCGGAGCGGGGAGGTGCCCGACAGGGGTGACCAGGGAGGTGTCGCGGATCGCCGAGGGTTGCCAGGGCGTTCCACCAGGCGGTGCCCCAAGGTTCCCGGGAGGTATTGCGGATTGACAGGAGGATTTCAGAGGGGTGCCGGGTGTGCCCGGAGGGTATTGAAGGTTCCGGTACCGGCCGGTGCCCGAGCGGTACCGGGCTGTGCCTGGATCTTGACGGGTGGGTGCCTGGGAGGTAACATGGGGTACTGGGGATCGCCGTAGGGATCAGGGGAATACCGGGCATGCCCGGCTGGTATCGGGTGTTGCATCGGGGGTTGCCGGTGGTTTCCAGAGGTACCGCGGTGTAACGGGGGTTGCCGGGGGTGTTGTAGGGGGTGAACGCCCGGTAGGAGGATCCCGGGGGTAATTGAGGGGTCCAGGGCATTGCCAAGGAACGCCTGGGGCGCGCTGGGGCCGCTCTCCGGGCGGGGCGGTACCTGCGCGGCCACCGCCTCACCTGGGGCGGTGCGGGGCGGAGCGGGGCGGGACGCGGCGGGCGGCGACCGGAGAGGCGGCGGCGGCGGCGGCAACGGACGGGCCATGCGGGGGCCGCGCTCCGGGCTCTGCCCGCTCTCCATCTTCATCCTCCTCCTCCTCTCGCCGCTCCTGCCGGCGGCCGCCCTCTCCCCGGCCCCGCCGTGCGTCCTCCCGGGGCTGCGCCGCGGGCCGCTCCCCGCTCCAGGTAACTCACACCGTCGGGGCGCGGCGGCACCGGGACCCCCGGAACCCCTCGGGGACGGGCTGCGGCCGCCATCGGGACCGGCACCGCGGCTCCGAGCGCCGGGGGGGCGGCGGGGCCTCCCTCACTGCCGGGATCGGGATCGCTTTTCCTCCGGTGCTGCGGCCGCTGCTTTTCGGGAGGGGCTCGCAGCGCCTCGGCCGTGGGGCTGGCGGGGGTCCGCGGCCGTGGGGTGCGCCATGGGGCTGGCGGGGGTCCTGTGCTCCAGGGCTGTGCTTCCCCCCCGGGCTGTGGGGCTCGGCCGTGGGGCCGGCGGTGCCCCGTGGGGCTGGCGGTGCCCCGTGGGGCCGGCGGTGCCCGTCTGGTCTCACTGGGCTGGCAGCGGCTGATGCCATCGCCTTTGGCCCAGCCGTGGGGTGCCCGCTGCCAGCAGGGCTGGGTCCCCGCAGGGTGGGCGGCCGGCGCCGGGCTGGCAGTGGGGCTGGGTGCCCGAGGGCCGCCCTTCTCCGGCTGTGGGGTGCGGGCTCTGGCCGGCCTGAGGCTGGGCAGGGTTTGCTGCTGCCAGCTCTTGGCCCGCTGCCGGAGCTCGGCCCGGGCCCGTTGCCCTCTCCGCTCGGCGGCTCCCGGGGGATTGGGGCTGCCCGGGAAGGCGGCCGGAGCAGCGCTGATCTAATGGCCGCGGGAGCGCTGCGAGCTCTCCTTGGCGGTAAGTGCTAGGGAGGGGCCCCGACCTCTGCCTGCTGTGGACACCACATCCCGTTTCACATCCCTTTTCCATCAGCTGAGCCTGCCAGGACTGGAGGTGGGCGCTGCCAGGCCCCTGCTGCGGGCACAGGCGGGCTCTGGCCGTGCCACCGCGACCCCCGTCCGTGGGCAGCACATGGCCCCGGCACCGACCGAGCGGCTCCGCCTCGCACCCAGCGGGCACGGTGCCCTCCATGGACATGGTGGGGTACCCCCTGTGCCGCCTGGCCCTTCGGAGGGAACAGCAACCGTGCCACAGCTGGAGCGGGGCTGGGGGCTGCCCATGGCGGGGGTTGGGGGTTTCCCCGGGCTCCCCGTGCCCAGCTTGCCAGGGCGCCTGATGCCCCTCCAGCCCTATTAAAGTTCTTTATCGCGGCCATCGCGACTGGGAGGGGCCCCGGTGCTGCCCTCGGGGCACGGTTGCTGCTCCCCGCACGGCCCCGCCGTCGCCCTCGGGCTCGGTCCCTCCGGTGCTCGGTCCCTCCGGTGCGGAGCAGCCGTGGGGCACAGCCCTCCCTGCCCCATCCCACGCCTTCCGCAGCCCCCCCGGGCCCACGGCCGCCCGGAGCTGGCTCAGCTCCGCTAATCCCCTAATCCTTCCCCGGGGGTGCGGAGCCGGGGCTGTGTCCAGCACGAGGGATGCGGCGGGGGAGGCGGGGGAGGGAGAGTCAGTGCCCGATGATCGGCCACGGGGGGTTGGGAGCCCCGAGGGGGTGACACACCGGGAGGGGGCTGGGGCAGGGCTCTGCCCGCGCAGGAATTTCCCATCGTCTGTGAGACAAAGCCGAAACTTCCACCGAAACTGCTCCCGTACGGCGCCGGTGCTCCCTGCGCCGCTCCCGGGGTCCTCTCCCCCTCTTCTCCCGTCCCCCGGCTCACTCCGCCCCGGGACTCTGGGGGACTGCAGGGTCCTGGAGCCGGTGGCTGCGGCTCGGGGGTGTCGGGGAGAGGTTCCCCCCACAGCCCTGACCCCTCACCCTCGCAGGGAGCTCCGGTGGCTGCGCGGGGCCATACAGGACGGAGGAGCCCGATGTCGGGGTGCGGGAGGACGGGGGCCCCGTGCGGCTACCGGCGGTGGGCAGGGCGCTCGCTGTACCCCCCCGAGATGCTGCTTCTCCCCGATATGTCGCCGGCCAGCCAGACCCTGCCCCAGTGCCCGCAGAGAGCCGGCGCTCCCCGCAGGTAACGCTGCGCCACATATCCCCCACCCCCGGCTCCCCCAGCCGGCTGTGCCCTCACCCACCCCCATCCCACAGGAGCTGCCCGGGGCTCGTGCCGTTCTCAGGAGGCAGAAGAGGGATTGGGTGATCCCCCCCATCAAGGTTCCTGAAAATGAGAGGGGCCCCTTCCCCAAAAAGCTGGTTCAGGTACGACACTGCTCAGGCTTTGGGGGTGGGTGCTGGGGGTGCATCCCCACTGCACTGGGCAGCGTGTGGTGGGGTGGGGGACACTGACCCCATCCCCTTGGTCTGTGTCTCCTCCCAGATCAAATCCAACAGGGACAGAGACACCAAGATCTTCTACAGCATCACAGGGCAGGGAGCGGACGCCCCTCCCGAGGGCATCTTCACCATCGAGAAGGAGTCGGGCTGGATGAAAGTGACTCAGCCGCTGGACCGCGAGCACATCGACAAGTACCACGTAGGTCCTCGCCTGGGGACACCAGGGGGATGTTGGGGTGCTGTGCCAGGCCCTCCACTCACGCCCCGCCCCGCAGCTCTTCTCCCACGCTGTGTCTGAGAACGGGAAGCCAGTGGAGGAGCCGATGGAGATCATCGTGACCGTGACGGACCAGAATGACAACAAGCCCCAGTTCACACAGGAGGTGTTCAGGGGCTCTGTGTCAGAGGGAGCTCTGCCAGGTAGGACCCCGTGCCTTGGGGAACTCTGCATCCCACCAGCTGCATTCCTTGGGCACAGCCTCGGCACTGTGCCCCCCATCATCCCACTCACCTGCACACCCACATCCCCAGGCACCTCCATCATGCAGGTGACAGCCACGGACGCGGACGATGCAGTGGAGACCTACAACGGTGTCATCGCCTACTCCATCCTCAGCCAGGAGCCGCGGGAGCCCCATCCCCAAATGTTCACTGTCAACCGGGCCACCGGCACCCTCAGCGTGATTGCCAGCGGGCTCGACCGGGAGGTGGGTCTGCAGCACTGTGGGGCAGGGCCCCAGCCCCAAGCAGGGCCTGACACAGTGTCTGTCTGTCTGTCTGTCTGTCTGTCTGTCCCCCGCAGCGCGTGCGGGAGTACACACTGACCGTGCAGGCAGCTGACCTGGATGGAGAGGGACTGACCACCACGGCGCTGGCGGTCATCGAGATCGCTGATGTCAATGACAACGCCCCCGAGTTTGACCCCAAAACGGTAACGTGGGCACCCCACTGGTGTGATTCTCCCTGGTGCCCGCTGGGCCGTGGTGCTGATGGTGCCCCTCGCCCGCAGTACGAGGCGGCCGTGCCGGAGAACGTGGCCGGGCGGGAGGTGGCCCGGCTGGCTGTCACCGACCTGGACGAGCCCGGCACGCCGGCGTGGCGAGCCGCCTACTCCATCCTGCGCGGCAACGACGGCGGTGCCTTTGCCATCAGCACCGACCCCGCCACCAACGAGGGCATCCTGCGCACTGCCAAGGTCTTTGTCATCCCACGTCCCCCGTGCTGCCCACAGAGAGTCCCGCCCGTCCCACTGTCACTGCCTGTGTCTCCCCCTCTCCCAGGGTCTGGACTATGAGGCCAAGCAGCAGTTCGTGCTCCACGTGGCAGTGGCCAACGAGGTCCCCTTCGTCGTGAAGCTGCCGATGGCCACCGCTACGGTGACTGTCACTGTGGAGGATGTCAATGAGGCCCCGGAGTTCGTGCCGCCCGTGCAGCTGGCCACGGTGTCAGAGGATGTGCCCCCGGGGCAGACCCTCACGGCCTGCACGGCCCAGGACCCTGACAAGGCACAGGGCCAGAGGATCAAGTGAGCGGGGACAGGGTTGGAGTGGTGGTTTGGGGGGTCTCTGCCGCCCCTGGCCATAGCAGCAGCTCCCTGTGCCCCCCAGGTACCTGGTGGGGCACGACCCGGCGGGCTGGCTGGCCGTGCACCCCGAGAACGGCCTGGTGACCGCACAGGACCACCTGGACCGCGAGTCCCCCTTCGTCAAGAACAGCACCTACATAGCTGTGCTGCTGGCCGTGGATGATGGTGAGGGACATGAAAGGGCCCTTGTTCCTCCTCCCTCGTGAGGGGCATGTGCTGCCATCGCCAGGAAACACATCCCAGCTCCAGCATGGGGCTGCCTGGCCCCACCCTGCCCGGGGAACCCCAGCTCCCTGAGGATCCTGGGTTTGGGACTGCCCCTTCCAGCATCACTTCCTGCTGTTCCCACCCTTGCCCAGAGAGTTTCTGGCCCTGGGAAAGCCTTGGTTTTGAGGCTCCTCCTGTCCCCATGTCCCCATGAGAGGCCTGGGTTGGGATCCCCCCTCCAGAACTGTCCCCCCCAGGCTCACCGCCGGCCACGGGCACGGGCACGCTGCTCCTCACCCTGCTCGATGTGAACGACAACGGCCCCGAGGCCGAGCCACGGGACATCACAGTGTGCCAGCGCAGCCCCCAGCCCCAGCTCCTCACCGTCACCGACCGGGACCTGCCCCCCAACACCGGCCCCTTCCGCGCCGAGCTCACCCACGGCTCGGGGGACAGCTGGGCTGTGGAGGTGGGGGACACAGGTACTGCAGGGGGCTGAACATCATGTGGGGGGTCCTTGGCAGAGGCAGCTGTGCCACGGCTGCATTCCTGGTGCGTTTTCCGTGAGCCCGCAATCTCACCTAGGTGACACGGTGACACTGCAGCTGGTGGCACCGCTGGAGCCGGACACCTACAGCGTGTACCTGCGGCTGCTGGACCAGCCGGGCAGAGCCCAAGTGACCATTGTCACCGCGCGGGTCTGCGCCTGCGAGGGGCAGGCACAGGGCTGTCCCCAGAGGTCCCAGCCTGTCACCGCCCTGCCCTTCGTCCTGGCCGCCCTGGGCGCGCTGCTGGCCCTGCTGCGTGAGTGGGGACCCTGGGGCTGTGGGGACACCCCAGAGCTGGGCACAGTGGGGGACACACGCTCCTCCTGATGGCACCTTTCCCTCCAGTCCTTCTGCTGCTGCTGCTGCTCTTCGTGAGGAGGAGGAAGGTGACAAAGGAGCCGCTGCTGCTGCCTGAAGATGACACAAGGGACAACATCTTCTACTACGGGGAGGAAGGTGGCGGCGAGGAGGACCAGGTGGGTGTGGGGGTCAGGGACCTGGTGACAGCGTGAGCAACCTGACTGCCCCTCTCCATTTCTGTGTGTGTCCCCAGAACTACGACCTGAGCCAGCTGCACCGGGGGCTGGACGCCCGGCCCGAGGTGATCCGCAATGACGTGGCTCCCCCGCTCATGGCGGCCCCCCAGTACCGGCCCCGTCCCGCCAACCCCGACGAGATCGGGAACTTCATTGACGAGGTGAGTCCTGCCCCGGGGAGCCTCGGGGGTGACGTGTCCCTGCCCCACCAGCACAGGGGACACGGGTGCTGAGCCCTCTGCTCCCCCAGAACCTGAAGGCGGCCGACACGGACCCCACGGCCCCTCCCTACGACTCGCTGCTGGTGTTCGACTACGAGGGCAGCGGCTCGGAGGCCACCTCGCTCAGCTCCCTCAACTCCTCTGCCTCCGACGGCGACCAGGACTACGACTACCTCAACGACTGGGGCGGCCGCTTCCGCAAGCTGGCCGAGCTCTACGGCGGCGGCGAGGAGGACGATTAGGGACCCCCAGCCCGCTGCTGTCCCGCCTTATTGCTGCTTCTGTGCCTTGGGGGATCCCCCTGCCGTGCCCCCCCATCCCAGCGCAGCCCCCTCACTTCCTCGCCTGCATTTTTGTGGTTGTTATCTATTTTTTAAGGTATGGAATGATGGCGTGTGGTACTGCGGACAAGGGGATGGGAGCTGGGTCAGTTTTAATAAAGGATTTGTTTTTTTTAGATGTTCCAGGCTCTGTGTCACTTTGTGCCCTGGAGGTCGGTGCTGTCCCCAGCCCAGCAATGACCCCTCCCCAGCCCTGTCCTCCCTTGCCCACTGCAGTGTGGAACCTATGGCACAGCTGCAGTGTCACCCATGCAGGGGCAGTGCCCATGCCCCCCGTCCTGGGGTGTCTTTCTCCCCAGGGGGTGTTGATGGGTATGGAACCGCCAATCTGTCCAAGGGAGTGACACTGGTGGCATTGGGCATTCCTGGTGCTAAATCTCTCCTGTCCTGGGCAGCCAGAGCCCTGCTGCCACCCCAGCCCCCTGAGATGACCATGGGTGCTAGCATGGGTGGGCACGGCAGCCCCTGGCCTTGGCAGGACCCTGAGCTCTGGGGGTCTCCCACTGGCTCCAGGATCAGGTCCTGACACATGGGATGAGGGTCCCCTTCTATAGGGTCCCCTTCCCCAGCTTTGGGGACAGAGGGGTGTAGGGGAAGCCAGGGACTGCAGCATCCTGAGGGGCCCTTCCTGCCCGAGGGGTCCCTGGGCACGATGTTTGTCCCCTGCTGCAGAGCTGGGATCTGGGGCCGTGCCATGGGGCACCCCGGGGTACTCCTGGCTCCTGTCACCCACCAAGTCCCCCTGCTCCCCCTGCCCTGGACAGGAGAGGCGTGGAAAGCACCAGAGCTGTGTGGCTTGGGCTGGGAGTATCAGAGGCACAGGAACAGCAGGTACGTGGGACGGGCAGAGCACCGGGGGCTGGTGGGGTCCTGGGGGTACCACGGTACCGGGGACCGTGGCAGAAGCACCGCACCGGTACCGTGGGGGGTTCCGGGGTACCGGGCGTTATAGGCACCGGGAATACTGGGGTGCGGGCGGGCAGGGACCGCCTCCCGTCGGGGCGGGACGGGGCGGTTCTCGGCGGGGTCGACACCTGCGAGGAGGGACCGGGAGGGGACCGGACGCACCTGCGACTCCGCGGCGGCAGCGCCCGATCCCTCCGGCACCAACCGGCTCCGGTATGGGGCGGCGGGCGGGCTGCTCGCTCCCTCTGTGCCTCCTCCTGCTCCTGCTCCAGGTGAGCCACGCAATGGGGCGGCAGGACCCCGCCGAGACCCCGCCGAGCCCCCGCCTGGGGCAGCGGGACCTTGCTCGGGACCCGCCCGGTGCTAACGAATCTCTCCGGGCAGAGCGGGCAGCGGCTGTGCCAGCGAGCAGCGCCGTGCCAGCCCGGCTTCGCCACCGACACCTTCACCCTGACGGTGCCGCGGGACAGCGTGGCGGCGGGACGGGCACTGGGACGGGGTAAGGACACGGGGACAAGCGGGTGGTGTGAGGATGAGGAGGGGCTATAGGTACAGGGGGGTGTGTGGCACAGGGACGGGCAGTGGGGGACATAAAGCCGTGTCACCGTGCCCGAGCGGTGCTGGCGTGGCCGTGGGGACACTGCTGTGGCAGCGGGGACGGTGCTGTGGTGGTGGGGACAGTGCCGTGACGGTGGGGACAGGCTTGCTGTGGTGGCATGGGGGACAGAGCCTGGTGGGGCACCCTGCCGGTGCCAGCAGAAGCAGCAGTCGGGGTCCTGGCACGGCGGGATGGGCTGGTGGCGCGGGGGCAGCGGCAGCCACTCCCCGGGGTGCGCCGGCGCGGGCGGCGCTGACTCAGGCACCGCAGACCTGTTGGGGCCGGCAGGTTGGGGTGTGGGGCACGCAGGGCCTGCCCTGCCCCGTGCCTCACCTGGCACCCCGGGTTCACCAGGGTGAGCCCCGCTTTGGGCCCACTGTGCAGGCCCCAGGCCAGCTCTTGGCACGGGGATGGGCACCTGGATGGGCTCCTGGGCTTTTGGGGTGTTGGGGTCCCACAGTGTGGGCATTAATGCCCTGTTCTGCTATGGCAAGGGGGCACGGGGACTCATGTGCTGGGGATCTGCTGCCACTCTGGGGCCCCCAAAAGGGACTCTGTGGGCTCTGGGGCTGTGTGCGGTGGCTGTCACCATCTGCACCAGTTCGTGGCTGGGACTGGTGCTGGCACTGCAGTGTGTGTGCCAGGGTGGGCACAGGGCTGAGGGGTACTGAGCACCCAGTGCTGCACCCAGGCTCCCAAACATCCCCGGCTCCGTAACGGCTTCGCCTGGGAGAGCCAGGAATTGGACCCTGCCCCATAGCCCAGGAATTGTGTTTGTTTGCCTTGTGGTTGATCATTAACGTGCAAAGTTGATGTCCATCAGGGCTGGGCCTGATACGGGGGGGGGGGGTGACGGGCAGCCTGTGACTTCCCTGCAGCACCGAGACCTGCTGGAAATCCTGTCCCAGCACCAGCACTTTCATCTTTGGCTTCCAGGCACAGTCAGGGCGTGGGAGGAAGGAAGGGACCATCTGATCTGCCCTTGAGGCCTGTGTGGCACCCAGTGATTCACAGCTGTGCCACAGTAATGCCACCTGTGGGGTGGCCGAGCCTGGTGGATGCCAGGCCATGCTGGGCCATGGAGCACCCCAAAGCTTGCAGCCAGGCTGAGGATCCGGCCTGTAATTAGCTTGATGAGTTGAGAGCTGTGTTTTCCCTCCAACAGGCCCAGACAAGCCCCACGCGGCGCCTGGGCGGGAACAGCAACACCTGCGTGGGGGCTGCGGCACCGCCAGGGCCCTGCTCCGTGGGTCGGGGGGCTCTGGGGTGGTGGGCATGTGGTGGGGGCTGCGGTAGTGCCCGTCAGTCCTCGGTGGAGAAACCTCGAGAGTCTGAAGTCACAGCGAAACTGGGGTGACGTCAGTGGGATGTGTCACCCGCAGCACCTTCACCCTGGGGTGAGCCCCCTGCCCTGGCACAGCTGCACGTGTGCAACACACGGGGTGGTGGAACTGCAGGGATGGATGGGGCACCCTGCTCTGCCTGTGCCCAGCCCCATTGAGACCTCACAGGACATGAGGTGGCTTTGGGGGGCTGCCCTGATCCCCTGTGTGGGGTCTCAGCCCCACACCCTGTTTGGCAGCCTGGTTGTACCAGTCTGGTTGTCCCAGTGTCCTGTAGGTGGTAGTGGGGGGATCCCCCTTGAAGTGGGGGGATCCCCCTGTAGGTCTCTCTTGAGTTCTTCCTTTCTCCCACCGCCATCATTCCCAGGAGAGGGCCCCCCTTCCACCCCCCCAGCTCCCAGCCCCGGGGAGAGGAGGGCTGGGGCCAGCCCTCCTTCAGCCGAGCTGGAAAAACAGGTTGTGCACAGCCAGGTGGGAAGGGGGGGAGCTGGAGGGGGAGAGCGGGAAGGGGGGAGCGGGTTCCGAGCCCCCTCCTGGAAGGCAGTGCGAGCTGAGCACTGAGCGCTCACTGCAGCCAGCGTGGGGCTGGGGGCTCCGTGCCGCCCCTCTGCACCCAGCGGGCCCCGAGCCAGGGCCGAGCGCTGGGGCTGCGCCCGCGGCTGCCTCTCCTTCCCCTTCCCCTTCCCCGCCTGCCCCGGCACGCTCCTGCCCGGCCGGCCCCACCGGCTCCGCCCGCCCCGCCCGGGGGTCGTGCCGCGGGGCTGGCATCGCACCGGCGGGGCGGCTCCTCCCGGCCCGGCTCTGGGGCTCCGTGGTGGGCAGGGGGGCAGCGATCGCACCCCCTGCATCCCACAGCCAGCCCGCACTCCTGGGCTGCTCGTGGGCTGACGGAACCCGCGGCCCCGTTCCGTCCCTCCGGCCGGCGGTGCCTCCTGCCCACCCCGCACGGCCCCTGCCGAGGCGCGGGGCACCGGGGCGGCGGTGCCGGGGCTCCAGCCACCCTCTCCCACACAAAGGCTGTTTTGTTTGTTCGGGAGCGCTGCCCGCCTCATGTGATGCCCGCTGACCGCTGCCTCGTGGTGGCCCAGCTCTGCTGCGCCCAGCCCGGTGCCCAGCTAGTGACATCGGACCCGCCTGCCCGCTGAACCTGGGCTTGGGGGTCCCGGAGCTACCTGGGCAGCTTGAGGGGCCTGACTGCCAGGGCACTGGGTGCCAGTGCAGGTGGATGGCCGCTGCCCTTGTTTTTATTGAAAAAGCAGCTAGAGCAGCATGGCACAGTGGTGGTGGCATGCTATGCTTGGGGACATGCTGTGCCACAGGGATACAGCCATATGGGGATGTGCCGTGCCTGGTGCCATGCCATATATGGTGCTGGGGACTGGGACATGCTGTGCCAGGTGCCACTTGCCCCATTGGCACTGTCCGGCAGGGATCCTCTGGCACAGTAGGTCCTGTCCTATCCTGGACCAAAGCCAGAGTGGGGATGCGCTGTGTGTTGTGCCTGGATGGAATCCTGGCAGGGCATCTGTCACTGTGTGTGGAGCATCCCCACCCCTGCTGTGACCCCACACCCCAGGCTGCTGGAGTGGGGCTGTGCTGTGTGTGCCCATGTCCCCAGAACCCCCTGCCACTCAGTCCCTTGTCCCCAGTGAGCTTTGTGGACTGTGGCGAGCCACGCCGTGCTCCCTTCCTCCCGGATGACACGCGCTTCAAGGTGAGCAGGGATGGCATTGTCTCTGCCACCCGGCCCCTGCAGCTCCAGCAGCGGGAGATCACCTTTGCTGTGCACACCTGGGACACCGCGGGCAGGAAGCATTCAGCCAAAGTGACCCTGCGCCAGCGGCGGCAGCAGCACCGACACCACGAGCGGGTGCAGCAGGTAAAGCACAGAGCCGCTCCCTGGGGTCACAGCAGCTCCCGTCCCTGGAGCAGAGGGCTCAGCTGCAGAGGGCACTGAGCAGAGCCACTGTCCCAGCAGGACACAGTGCCGGACATGCTGATCTTCCCGGAGCATGGGCACGGCCTCCGGCGGCACAAGAGGGACTGGGTCATCCCCCCCATCAACTGCCCTGAGAATGAGCGGGGGCCCTTCCCCAAGAAGCTGGTGCAGGTACGTGTCCCCACGGGCACCAGGCAGGGTCCAGGGGTGTCCCAAGAGTGCTGGGACACGTCTCCACCCGCTTATTCCTGCCCCGCTGCCAGATCAAATCCAACAAGGACAAGGAGACCAAGGTTTTCTACAGCATCACGGGGCAGGGAGCGGATACCATCCCCGTGGGTGTCTTCATCATCGAGCGGGAGACGGGGTGGCTGGAGGTGACAAAACCCCTGGACCGGGAGGAGAAGGATAAATACGTGGTGAGTGAGGGGGCGTCTGTGGTGGGACGGGGACAGTCCTGGGGACTGCACACACACTGACTGTGCCCTCGCAGCTCTACTCCCACGCCGTGTCGGCCAACGGGCAGCCCGTGGAAGACCCCATGGAGATCATCATCACCGTCACTGACCAGAACGACAACCGGCCCGTCTTCACGCAGCAAGTCTTTGTTGGCTACATCGAGGAGAACGCAAAGCCGGGTACGTGGGGACTCTGAGCAGGGACCACACAGAGCCCTGAGGGCAAGCAGTGTCTGGTGGGTTCTGTACCCATCATTAAAATCTCCCTGGCTTGTCCCCATGTCCAGGCACATCTGTGATGACCGTGAACGCCACGGATGCAGATGATGCGATCAATGTGAACAACGGCATCATCGGCTACTCCATCCTCAGCGAGGAGCCCAAGGGTGCACAGCGGATGTTCACCATCAATGCCGAGAAGGGCATCATCAGTGTCATTGGCACAGGACTGGACCGGGAGGTGGGCGCCTTGCCACGGGAACCTGCAGCTACTCCACAGTGTGATGTGCCAAGGGGAGAATGGGATACTGCAGCCCTGGGGTCCATCTGGCTTTGGGATGTGACATCTCTGGGTCACTGTCCCTGGCTGTAGGGGTGTCTACTGCCTTAAGGCTACCAGGAGCTATGCTGGGGACACTCCAGGAACCCCCAGCCTTGCTGAACCCTGGAGTGGGTCCAGTGCCAGCCCCTTGGGTGGCCAGCTGGGACATTGGCTGCCTCTGTGCCAGCAGGAAACAGCGAGGTTGGAGAAGGGTGGAGGAGCAGGCAGGTGATACCTGGAGGAGGGGAACACCCCAGTCCCCACCAGCCCTAACCGGGGTGATTTTGCTCTGCAGACTACTCCCAACTACACACTGATCATCCAGGCTGCAGACCAGGAAGGCACTGGCCTGACCAACACTGCCACCGCCATCATCAAAGTCACTGATGCCAACGACAACCCTCCTGTCTTCAACCCTGCCACGGTACCACCCAGCCCCAGCCACTGCCCTCCCCAGCCCTCGTGGCACAAGCCTCCTCCTGGGGTGCCTGGGGCCACGCCGGTGACTGTCCCTGTCCCATCTTGCAGTACGAGGGGTTAGTGGACGAGAACCAGGTGGGGGTGCTGGTGACCCGGCTGCATGTGACAGACCAGGACCTGCCGGGCTCCCCGGCCTGGCGCGCCGTCTACCGCATCCAGAGCGGGGACCCGCAGGGCGACTTCGAGATCACCACTGACCCCAAAACGAACGATGGGCTCCTGAAAACTGCCAAGGTGGGTCCTGCTGCCGCATGGCTGCCTCAGCACCAGCTGACTCCCTGCTGGCACTACCCGGCTTCTCTCCCACCCCCAGGGCCTGGATTATGAGACCCAGGACCGGTACAAGCTCGTGGTGTCGGTGGAGAATGAGGCCCCCTTCACCGTGGCCCTGAATCCTGCCACAGCCAATGTCCTGGTGGTGGTCACGGATGTGAATGAAGCCCCGATCTTCAATCCCCCGGTCAAGCAGGTGGAGGTGATGGAGGATGTGCCAGTGGGATACCAGGTCACCTCCTACACAGCCCAGGACCCCGACAAGGACCAGAGACAGAAAATCACGTGAGTGGAGGGTGATGGTGGCAGGGGCTTTGCTGGGATGTCCGAGGGGCTGCGCTGCACCGTGTGCCCCTTCCTCTCCCCCTGCTGACCCCTGGCTGCCCCCAGGTATCGCATGGGCAGCGACCCTGCGGGGTGGTTGGCCATTGACGCTGAGAATGGCATCGTCACGGCAGCCCAGCCCCTGGACCGGGAGTCGGCACACGCCATCAACAGCACCTACAAAGCCATCATCCTGGCCATAGACAACGGTGAGGACGGCCAGCTGCTGCCCCCGTGCCCATCTCCATGTCCCCCCATGGGGTGCAGGCCCCTCCCTGGGTGCCTGGCTGACTCTTAGTCCCACAGGGTCACCAAACTATGCCACCGGCACGGGGACACTGATCCTCCTGCTCCAGGATGTGAATGACAACGGGCCCGTGCCAGAGCCCCGGAACTTTGACATCTGCAACCGGCAGCCTGAGGAGCAGACGCTGAAGATCATCGACAAGGACCTGCCCCCCAACACTCACCCCTTCAAGGCAGAGCTGATGCACGGCTCTGGCAGCAACTGGACTGCCAGCGTGGTGCAACCAGGTGGGTGCCACCTGCTCTGCTGCTGGGCCCTGCACTGAGCACTAGGCTGGGGACCTGCCATGGGGCAAAGTCCTGTGCCAGTGCCAAGGGTGTTCCCAGACCAGGACTGGGAAAGGGGCTGGAGCACCAGGAGCAGCTGAGGGAGCTGGGGAGGCTCAAGAGGAGCCTTCTCACTCTCCACAGCTTACTGGCAGGAGGGTGCAGCCAGGTGAGGGTCAGGATCTGCTCCTAAGATACAGGACAAGGGGAAACAACCTCGAGTTGGGCCAGGAAAGATTTAGGTTGGACACTGGGGAAAATTCATTAATGGAAAAGGTGCTCAGGCATGGGAAGAGGCTGCGCAGGGCAGTGGTGGAGTCCCCATCCCTAGAGGGATTTAAGAGTTGTGTGAATGTGGCACTTGTAGAAATGAGTCAGTGGTGGCCTTGGCAGTGCTGGGGGATGGCTGGACTCAATAATCTTGGAGACCTTTTCCAACCCAAATGACTCTGTGATTCACCAAGACGAGGTGAAGCTGATCATGAAGAAGGAGCTGGAGCCGGGCGAGTACAGCATCTTCCTGAAGCTGCTGGATGCGCAGGGCAAGGAGCAGATCACGCCGGTGCGAGCCCAGGTGTGCAGCTGCGAGGGGGCAGCCAAGAACTGCGAGCGGCGAGCGTTCATCTCCGGCGGCATGGGCGTGCCCGCCATCCTGGGCATCCTGGGGGGCATCCTGGCGCTGCTCAGTGAGTACCCGGGAACGAGCACGGGAGGGACAGAGTGCGGGTCACCCTCTCCCTGCTGCCCTGACACCCCCTCCCTGTGCCTGCAGTCCTCCTGCTGCTGCTGCTGCTCTTCGTGAGGAGGAGGAAGGTGGTGAAGGAACCACTGCTCCCACCCGAGGATGACATGAGGGACAATGTGTACCACTATGACGAGGAGGGCGGTGGCGAGGAGGACCAGGTGGGATGGCTGTGCTTGCTGGACCCTGCCCACCAAGCGTTGGTGGCGGTGCCCGTGGCTGTCCCTCGAGCCTTGACTCCCACTGTCGCCCCAGGACTACGACCTGAGCCAGCTGCACCGGGGGCTGGACGCCCGGCCTGAGGTGATCCGCAATGACGTGGCTCCCCCGCTCATGGCGGCCCCCCAGTACCGGCCCCGTCCCGCCAACCCCGACGAGATCGGGAACTTCATTGACGAGGTGAGTCCTGCCCCGGGGAGCCTCGGGGGTGACGTGTCCCTGCCTCACCAGCGCAGGGGACACGGGTGCTGAGCCCTCTGCTCCCCCAGAACCTGAAGGCGGCCGACACGGACCCCACGGCCCCTCCCTACGACTCGCTGCTGGTGTTCGACTACGAGGGCAGCGGCTCGGAGGCCACCTCGCTCAGCTCCCTCAACTCCTCTGCCTCCGACGGCGACCAGGACTACGACTACCTCAACGACTGGGGCGGCCGCTTCCGCAAGCTGGCCGAGCTCTACGGCGGCGGCGAGGAGGACGATTAGGGACCCCCAGCCCGCTGCTGCCACCTCATTTCACAGGACTGACGTGGGTCTCCAGGGTGGCCAAACCCCCTCCAACACCTCCTGAACCCCGTGCCCATGTCTCCCTCAATGAGAAAAGCTCAGGCTCACTGGGGATGGGGGGTTGTGGGGTAGTCTGGGTGTTTCCTGGCTCCCTTGGCTCCAGGGCACGGAACAGTTTAGTCCATTCCCTATCCTGGAACTGAGGTGCTCCCAGTTGTGGGGGGCAGGATCATGCTCTTCATCCCTTTTCCATGAGGGGAAAAAGGGTTTCTTTGGTGGTCTCCAAAATACCTCGTGTTCCCAGCCCCACACAGGCTCAGATTGTGAACCTAGTGATGGAGAAGTGGAATGAGGCACTCAATCAATACAGACCAAAGATGCACCATCACAGGGAATTGTATTTACTACAGTATGTACAGGCAGATTTCTATTTTTCTGTATCCCAGATTGTGGTATGATTTCCTCCCATGTCGTGCCAGTTGTAATTAGTCTGCAGTCATTGAAAGGTGCTTTCCAAAATCAAAGGGCTTTCCCAAAATCCTGACCTCTGAGTTTAGCTGTCGTCACGGTTTGTATTTTTTATCATGGGAAAAGGGTCTGATGCGAGCTGGGAAACCAGCAGTGGCAAAGTGTTGATTGCATGGTTTTTATATAAAATTGGTAAATTAAAAATTGTTTTAAGAAAACCAAAGACTTGTCTGTGTGTGAAGCTTTGCCGGTGCTCCAAGGCTTTAGCTGCTGCGCAGGTGTGGCCATGGCCCCCTCCACAGGGCAAGCAGAATCACGGAATATGGAAACCCAGGGCACCAGGAATATTTCTGTCTGCTCTGGGGTGTCCTGATCTCCAAGGGAGCACTGACTTTGATCCTCATTCATGGAGAGAACTTCCAAAGCCTCAAGGTAAACTAGAAACCACGTAAGTGTGAAATAGATTGTATAGAGTAGCGTAGTATGTCACATGGATGAGAAATTTAGGTTTTAGGATTTTTGGTATGTTATAGATGGTTTCTAGATGGAGGATATAGGGTGTTGTCTTGAATTTCTTTCTTCTTCCTCTTTCTTCTTGGGTTTAGGTGGTATCTTGTAATTCGGTAGAAAAATCTGCATTGTGGGTCTTTAGGGGTCAGTTATTGGGTTAGAAAGGAAAATAATATAAGTGCCACTTCTTAACTGGGTAGCTTAGTTTTTTATTAGACTTAAAAGGCCTTGTAAAAAGAGACTGTTAGCCATTTTTGTGTTGTTTTTTCTGCACGCACAATCTGGTGCAGACAGCGTGCTGAAGTTTTGATAACATATCAATAAACAGAAGCTGAAGACCGAAAACGTCCAATGCATCTCTCGTTCCTGACACAGAACTGCTCCAGGAGGGTCTGGGGTCCAGAGCCCCCAGGGAGTTGCCCAACTTGGGGCCCGCAAACTCACAGCGGAAGGGTTAGAATTGGAAGGAACCTTAAGGATCATCCATCTCCCCGCCTTGCCATGGGCAGGGACACCTCGCACTGTTCCAGGCTGCTCCAAGGCCCAGTGCGCAACCTGGCCTTGGGCACTGCCAGGGGTCCGGGGGTGCTCTGGGCACCTGCCAGGCCCTCGTTGCTGTCAAGTGAGAAGGATTCCATCCCCGTCCTGCCCCGTCCTGCCCGGTCCCTCCGCCCGGTCCCGCTCCCCGGCCGCTCTCTCCTCCCGTTCCCACCTCCCCAAGATGGCGGCGGGCCCTCCCCTCAGCGCGCTCCCCGCCCCTTCCCGTGCCCGCCTCAGCATGGCGGCGCTCCCCGGGCACGGTCCGGGCATGGCGGGCGGAGCGGAGCCGGGCCGTGTGGTGGAGGCGCTGGAGCTGCTGCTGGGGCCGCCCAGTGACGGCGACAGCGCTGCCGAGCCCGGCCCGGAGCGCGCCCTGTGCCCGGAGACGCTGCGCAGCAACGCGGCGGCGCTGGAGGAGCGGCTGGCCGGGGCAGCGGGCTGGGCCGCGCTGCGCCAGCTCCGGGCGGCCGTGCTGGCCCGGGCGCCCGCGCTGGCGGCCGGGGCGGCGGGCGCGGAGCCGGGCTGGGCGGCGGCCTGCGGGCTGCTGGCGCTGCTGCTGTGCCTCAAGGAGCGCCTGGCCGCGCTGGCCGCCGCCCCCGCCGGCCCCGCCGCCCCCGGGGAGCCGCCGCCGCCCGGCGCCGACACGCTGAGCGTGCGGCAGGAGCGGGCGGTGCGGCGGGCGCTGCGGGCCGCCGTGGGGCTGGGGCTGCTGCCGCACCTGCCGCCGGGGCTCGGGCCGGGGCTGGGGCCGCCGCCCGGCACCCGCGGGCCCCGGCTGTTCGCCGCCGTGGCCGCGCTGGCCGAGCTGGCCCGGCTGCCGGCGCTGGGCGCCCCGCTGCTCGCCCGGCACCTCCGGCTGCTGCTCTGCGGGCTCTGCGGGCTGGGGCACGGCCCCGCCGCCCTCTGCCAGGTCCGTGCCACGCTCGCAGCCGTGTCCCCGCTCCCCGGCGGTGCTGTGCTGTGCCCCAGCCCGCTCCGCAGGCGGTCCCTGCCCGCCGTGCCCCGTGTAGGAGAAATAGCGGGGCACGGAGCCCGCCGAGGGGCTGCAGGGCACCGGCTCACCGGCTTCAATGCCCAGCCAAGCTGTTCTCGACAGCCCTGCTATGCTTTGTTGCAGGGTGTTTCGGAAGCGGAGCGAGCGCAGTGCCGGGAAGCCCTGAGGGACATCCTGGACCGTGTTTACCAGCCGCTGGCAGTGCAGGAGCTGCTCATCCTGCAGGGACAGCCCAAGCAGGTACCCGGAGCCATCCCCGGCACGCGGCTGTCAGGGTCTGTACCCCCGTGGCTCCCACACGCCGAGGATGCTGCTCCTCTGGAAATGTTCTTACACCTAAAAAACCAGTCCCCGAGCGCTGGGTGTGTGTCGTTACAGCCCTGCTGTGCAGGAGCGGAGTGTGGGTGTGCCAGGGGCTGTCATCGCCGCGCGTGCCATCTTGGCTTAGCATCCACATCTTCGGTGTTTGGCCAAGCACAGCTCCTCCAACCTCACTTTTCCCATTCCAGGGATGACACAGGGCACCTGCTGCTCTTTGGGGCTGTTCCAAAGCATCCTGGGCAGTAGGAGATGGGGAATCTCTTAAGTGTTGTTTTAGTAAAGTCCCCATGGGATAATGCCCTTAAAAGAATCATAGAATCCCAGAATGGCTTGGCCTGGAAGGGAACTCAAAGTTCATCTCATTCCACACCCTATCATGGGCAGGGACACTTTCCACTATCCCAGGTTGCTCCAAGCCCTGTCCAACCTGGCTTTGGACACTTCCAGAGAGGGAATAGCATGCTAAACACCTGAGGGCTGACCTCTCTCATTAATTCCTGGTTTGCTTTATGCCGCTGGATGAAGCAGCAATTCAAAGGCTGTATCCTGTGCTCTCTGTCAGAGCATGGGCTGTTTGCCCAGAGGTGAGCTTGGCACAGGTGTGTGCAAACACGCTCCTCACCTGCTCTTTGCTCCCTTGCAGAGGTGTCCAGGCGCCGGGGCAGCTCCGGCCTGGCTGCGGCGGCTCTGCGGGCACCTGCTCTCCGAGAGGCTGCTGAGGCCTGGCGGGGTGCAGGCCGTGGTTCGGGGTGTCTTGGAGGGCACAGACGGTGAGTGGGGGCTCTGGGTCCCAGCATCACAGATTCAGATATGCCTTGAGGCAGTTCATCCCATGAGAAGCCCAGAAAAGCAGAGCCACAAGAGCTGGATGTAGGAGCTGGCTTGTGGCAGGCTGAGGTGACATGGTGACACACAGGCTTTGCCTGTGACTGTGCTGAGCTCCCAGACTGCTCTAATTTGGGATACACATATGTTAGAGGGCCACACTGAAAGGCTCCAAGCCTGTCTGTGCCTCGATGGGGTCACACATTCTGTGTATCCAGAGTGGGATCAGTCCTGGGGAGTGCCCTGTCCCAGTGCCAGTGTGCTGGGAGCTGTGCTGGGCACTGGGCTGTGAGAGCTGTAGGGACAGTGAGACCCATCCTGTCCCCTGTGCTCCGTGTCCTGCCAGGGAAGGAAGCTGTTGCTCTCCACGAGCTGAATCCTACAGTTCTTAGTGCCAAAATCTCGTCTGGCCAACTCCAACCGTCCAAGCACAACCTCTCCCCACCTTTTGGCTCACCCACCTGGCTGTAGGAGTTGTCTTCCATTATCAGAGCTCTTGCACAGCAATTTTCTCCTTTCTATCCTTAAGTTCAGGTGTCTCCTGAAAGAGCAATAAAAGCTCAAAATCCAATTTTTGGCTGGGAACACCTGGCTTCAGCCAGAGCTGTCCGTGGGTCAGAGCTGACCTGGGATTTCTGCTGCTGTTGTAGGTGGTGCTGGTGCTGAAGCAGCAGCTCTGGACTGGAGGAAATGCGATGCAGTTGGGAAGATCCTGGCTGCCTGCCCACAGCAGTGCCTGTCCCTCGAGGACTACTACAGGCAGGTGTGCCCCCAGGTAAGTGCCTCGTCCCCTCTGCCAGGGAGTGCAGAGCCAGCTCTCAGCTGGGAGAGTGCTGGGGCTCTTCCTTTTGCTTGGGTGTGGCCTGGCTCAAGCTGAGAGATGTTTTTCTGGCAGTAGGACATTTCCACTCTTGAATTTTCCATGTTTTATTGAAATGCTGGGTGATGATGTCTGCTCACACGAGGTACTTGGCGCTGTGCTGCACAGAGCTCCATGTGTAGCTCTTCTAGCCTTTGGCTCTGGGAGTAGGGCAGGCTCCTGGTTTGAGCCCTGAGGTATCCTGCGTGTGTGGGAAGGACACTGGCTCTTCCACACATGGAATGTCGTTCCAGCTGCCCAGCAAAGCAGCACATGGGTGGCTCCTTGGTTGCTGCGAGGCGCCAGGCTGCCCTCTCGGAGGGGTTGCTGATGTTTGTTTCTTTTTCCTTGCAGATCCTGGACTTGCTGCACATCCAGGACAAAGTGGCAGCGCGGCAGTTCCAGCGTGTGGCCACCACCACGCTGCTCACCATGGCCAGGGAGCAGCCACAGCTGGCAGAGAGGCACCTGCTCCAGCCCCTGCTGGCACCGCTCCGCCGCTGCTGCGAGGCTGCAGGTGGGCTGGGGAGGGGTCTGGTTTTGCTCTTCACTGGTTTTTGTCACTCCATCTGAGTTTTCTCAGGCCAGCAGCCAGGAGGGGAGTGTGGCAGCCCAGCTCTCTGTGCTGACCCTGTCAGTTTGTCTGGGTACGCTGTATTTACCCCTACTTGAGTCCAGTTTGGCTCTGCCCCGTGCTCCTTGGGAACCTCTCCCAGACTGACATCCTTGTTTTGGGCTTCCAGACAGAAGCTGTTGGTTCCCCAAACTGACCAGCAGCTCTCTGGGGAATCGTCCATCATGGACTTGTGGTCTGTGTTGATTTCCATGTCTCCTTGGGGGTTTACAACACTACAGCACAATTAGTGTAGCTAATGAGGGCTGGTCTGTTCCCGTGGGGAGGGAAGGGAGCTGTGGAAGTGCTTTTGGGTGCAGGGAATGGTGGGGCAGTTCTGCTGCTGGGGGCTCTGGGATGTTTTGGGGGCTCATGTCTCTGCCCTTTTCTTTCAGAGCTGGCACTGGAGGATTTGACAGCAGGGGCCGTGCTGGTGCCAGAGGCAGAGCTGGGCAGCTGTGTGGAAGATGTGCTCAAGGTACTGCGTCTGCTTTGGGTGGGAAAAAGGGCTGGTTTGAGGCCTGGTGAGAAGTTCAGTGTGTGTTGGGCCACACAAACCAG